TAAGTACCCATAACCCTGCCATTTCGTGGCAACAGAGAGCTCTCAATGGGTGGTCTGCTCAGTGTGAGGGGCGATGTCTGGGGGTTTCCGTGGGGGCGACTTCGGTGGAAAGTCCAAACCAAGTGCCCGCACTGCACATTCCGCCTGAATATGGGGATTTGGCTATCGTGTTTAGTAAAGCTAGGGCGACGCAGTTGCCTCCTCATAGACAGGGGGATTGTGCGATTGATCTCCAGGCAGGAGCAGCGCTCCCACGGAGCCACGTGTATCCTTTGTCTCAAGAGGAGAGAAAAGCTATGGAAACTTACATAGCCAAATCTTTGAGACAAGGATACATACGGCCCTCCACTTCTCCCGCCTCCTCGAGCTTCTTTTTTGTGAAGAAAAAAGATGGAGGGTTGCGCCCGTGCATTGATTACCGTGGTCTCAATCAGATTACTGTGAAATACAGTTATCCACTCCCTCTGATTGCGACCATGACGGAGTCATTGCACGGAGTGCGGTTTTTCACAAAACTGGATCTCAGGAGCGCGTATAACTTGGTGCGCATTAGGGAGGGCGACAAATGGAAAACAGCGTTTAGTACCACGTCGGGTCATTTTGAGTATCTCGTCATGCCATACGGGTTGATGAATGCTCCATCAGTCTTCCAATCCTTCGTGGATGAGATTTTCCGGGATATGCAGGGGCAAGGGGTGGTCGTGTACATTGATGACATTCTAGTGTACTCGTCTACCCGAGCCGAGCATATAGCCCTGGTGCGTCGTGTATTGATGAGGCTGTTGGAGCACGACCTGTATGTCAAGGCAGAGAAATGTCTGTTTTTCCAGGAGTCGGTCTCCTTTTTGGGTTATCGGTTGTCGCCTAGGGGAGGAGAATGGAGGTGAGAATGGAGGTGGACCGTGTGTCAGCCGTGCGTAATTGGCAAACCCCAACCACTGTCAAAGAGGTGCAGCAGTTCTTGGGCTTTGCGAATTACTACCGGAGGTTTATCCGGGGTTTTGGACAGGTGGCAGCTCCCATCACGTCCCTTCTGAAAGGGGGTCCGGTGCGCCTGCAGTGGTCAGCTGAGGCGGACAGGGCCTTTGGGAGACTGAAGGACCTGTTTACGTCGGCTCCGGTGCTGGCGCATCCGGACCCCGCCTTACCCTTTCAGGTCGAGGTGGACGCGTCTGAGGCCGGTATAGGGGCCGTACTCTCTCAACGGTCCGGCACGCCACCTAAACTCCGCCCCTGTGCCTTTTACTCTAAAAGGCTCAGCCCGGCGGAGCGAAATTATGACGTCGGGGACAGGGAGCTGTTAGCTGTTGTTCAGGCCCTTAAGGTGTGGAGGCATTGGCTTGAGGGGGCTCAACACCCTTTCCTCATTTTGACAGACCATCGGAACCTGGAGTACATCCGGGCAGCGAGGAGACTGAACCCTCGCCAGGCTCGATGGAGTATGTTTCTCGCCAGGTTCGTATTTAAAATCACGTACATCCCTGGGTCCCAGAACGGTAAGGCAGATGCGCTGTCCCGGCGGTATGACACGGAGGAGAGGTCCGTTGAGCCTACTCCCATACTACCGGCGTCTTGTCTTGTGGCACCGGTTGTGTGGGAGGTCGATGCTGAAATCGAGCGGGCGTTGCGTACCGACCCCAGCCCTCCACAGTGTCCTGTGGGTCGGAAGTACGTTCCGCTCGAAGTTCGGGATCGACTCATTTACTGGGCTCACACGTCACTGTCCTCTGGACATCCGGGTATTGGCCGGACAGTGCATTGTCTTAGCAATAAATACTGGTGGCTCACGTTAGCCAGGGATGTGAGGGTTTATGTCTCCTCCTGCTCGGTGTGCGCCCAGTGTAAGGCTCCCAGACACCTGCCCAGGGGTAAGTTACAACCCCTGCCCGTTCCACAACGACCATGGTCCCACCTCTCAGTGGATTTTGTGACAGACCTTCCCCTCGGCGCACGGCTGGAGCCGCGCGTCAAGGGGGAGGTACTGTCACGGTTTCGGCCGAGGCTGCTCCTCCTCCTTGCTCGGGCAGGTTTCGGCGGTCGTCGTCCCCGGAGTACTAGCTGCCACCGATCTATGTTTCATGTTCGTTTGGTTTTGTCTTGATGTTGTACACCTGTTTCTAGTTAGTCTTCATTAGTGTCCTATTTAGTTCTCGTTGTGTGTGTCAGGTGTTGTGTGTGATTACGCTTCTGTTTGGTGTTCTGAGCTACGTGTTTCCCTCCGTTGTTTTGGAGAGGTTTTTCGCACATGTTATTGCGCCTTTTGTTTGATGCCTGTGTGCGCCTTTATTTCACCTCCGGGCTTGTTGGGCTCGTGTACTACGTGAATATTTCACTAAAGTCTTTTGGACTTAGTTTCTGCGTCCTGCGCTTGATTCCTGCACCACACCCACCTTCAGCACCCGTGACACCCGTGTTCAAAAATGGCCTTTTTCCCTTTATTCAGATTACAACCTCTCAATTTAGGTTATTTGAAAATGAAATAATCTCCAAAATATTGCTATTTTTAAAACAAGCCATAGAAAGTTGGTTGCAATTTCAGTGTAATCCACCAGAAAAGACAGAACAAATATTACAACAAATATTATGGTTAAACTCAAATACACTAATTGATTAAAAAACCTTATTTTAGGAAGAAAAAAAAAACTGCATGATCTTTGTAAATTACATCATAAATAGGACTGGTGGAGTTATGTCATACATGCAGCAATAAAATATATATGTAAATGTCTGCTCTTTCCAAAATTATGACCAACTAATTTTAGCATTACCACAAAAATGGAAAAGGCAAGTGGAAGGGGGGAAAGTAAGGACCTAAATTGGTTAAAGAAAATTGTGATAAATAAAAAAGTATAGCAGTTTCATTCAAGGATTTAAAAAAAGGACAGTTGTGCCATACAGATTGCAAAATAGTTGGGAAGAGATTTTCGATGTATCGATTCCATGGCACATGGTTTATGAACTGATACACAAAACAGCGCTGGATTCAAATCGTATAGTTTTTCAATTTAAATGATTATACAAAATTCTTGCAACTAATAGAATGTTATATATAAAGGGGATACACCCATCCCAGCTCAGCAGATTTAGCTGCAAAGAGACAGAATCATTAGATCATCTGTTTTGGTACTGTCCATATGTAGCTTGTTTTTGGTCTAGAATGGCTGAAGAATTGCAACATTTATCTGGAGTTAACTCTGCAAATAGCACTGCTGTGTCATCTGAAAAGTCATAGTCAATCGATCAATAATATAATAATTCTCTTAGCAAAAATGTTTATCTTTAATTTACAATCTGTAGAAACTACGAGAATAAAAAGGTTCAGAACTTTTGTGAAACATCACAGCACAGTTGAAAAATATATGGCAAATTGAAATCAAAACTGGATGGTCTTCAGAGATAGATGGAAGGGGTTGAGGGTATCTGAAGGATGGGACTAAAAACAAACAAAAGATATTAATGTAAAGTATATTGTGTCCGTAAAATGTATATAGTATGTATAAGCTGGATGTAGAAGCCTAAGTGTTCTTGTACATTAGTTTATTCCAATTAGGGTTTGGGGAAAATAATAAAGGAAAATATATTTTAAAATGTATACATTTAAAATAATATAAGATAAACTGCAATTCAAACAATAACAAAGCCACCACACCACCAGTGTTTTGGTAAACAGCTGAGGGATGAGGCTGGAGATACGTAACCATTCTCAAATTCATAGACAGAGCTGTGGATGCAAGGACTCACCATCGATGAGATCAACATCATAGTTTTGACCATGTTCTGTAAACAAAGCATATATTTTGGGTTCTGATGGGATACAACAGTTTAACTAAGCTCATGAGTTGTTTAGAAGTTATATTCTTCAAGAATCAATGGCTATATGTATCATTAATTTAAAAGTCCAAAAATGGATGTAGCAATCGCAGATTGCCTCTTTAAGCTAATGCACCCAGAGGTGCAGTGTTTTGTAGCAGTGTACCGTAACAGCAAGCTCACTACATGACACCACTTATAGCCTAGAGGAAGCTCCTAATTAATTAGGATCCTTATAATATTTATTTCTACCAGGCACCATTTCTAATTTTCTCCAACAGTTTGTACCATGTCTATTCCTACTATATTTTCTGTCACTCATTAAAGCTGTCTCGTGTGCTCTCTCTCTCTTCCTCTAATATTAGCTAAATTCTCCTTCTTTATCTATTACCGCTCATCTCACACTGTCTTGCGCTCCTCAGTCTCTTGCCTTGTCAGCCTGTCCTACTCAACTCTTTCAATTTAAATTCAATTTGGAATCCAATTTAAATGCATGCAAGAAGGCGTCATTGTCAGGACAGATAAACATTTAGCAGGGGTTACAAATCAGACAGTTGACAAAATAACTCACTGTCCAGAGTACAGATGAAGTTATGGGATGTGATGGAACTATATTAGATTTGTTTTACCCCGTGGCTACTTCCTGTGTTCAGTTGTGCCGGCACTCCCTAAATCTCACTACTGTAGCTGTAATCTACTTTGAAGATTTTTACTCATTTGTCATGCCTCCTCAGCTAATGACCTTTTTTTTTACACCTTAAATCTCTCTCTCTCTTTCCTTTTTTTCACTCTCCATTTCTCTCTCTCTCCTGGCTTCCCCTATTTCTTACATGCTTTGAGCTCTTTAAGTTTCCTTGAGTGACTAATTCTGGTAACCATGTGAGTTTCTATGTGAGTGTGAACTATCTGAGTGTGTGCTGCCTCCTTACCTCTGAAATATATACATGAAGTCCTAGGGAGAATCTCAATTGCACTCTCCTCACGTCCTCTCTCCTCACCTCCTTAAAACCCATTGGAGTAGAAGGTCAGAGGGGAGGGACCTCTGGCTTTCTCATCCAATGGGTTTTAAGAAGGAGGCGAGGAGAGAGGATGCCAGGAGTATGCAGTTGAGATTCTCCCCTAGTCAGGTGTGTATTATGTAATTTAGCTGTAGCCATATATTATGTCATATAGTTGTATATTATGTTATAATGAGTCCTACCGTCCAGCAGGTGGTGGACCAGGCAGACAGAAGACAGTTCTCCATGAGGAGTAGTGGAAGATGCCGGCTCTGCCAGCACTGCTGCTGTCGATTTACTTCCTCTTGCTGTTGCTGACCATGGCCCCGCTCTCATTCACCCAGGCTCCCGCGCTCTCCTCTGTCAGAATGGGTGGGTTTCCGCTAGTTACCACAGTCACAAAGTCAAAGTTGGGTATATTATAAAATTGCATGAAAACTAAAAGTAGGTATTTGGTCTTAATTTAAGGTTAAGGTTAGGCATAAGGTTAGCATCGTGGTTAAGATTAGGGTTAGGTTTAAAATCAAATTTTAAGAAGATAAATTGTAGAAATAGGCGGGGTTTATGACTCTGTGGCTGTGGTAACTAGTGACGACCGAATGTGTGCGTTGGGATCACACTGTCATGGCTGACAAGGCCATCTACTCCTCAGTGTCTTTACCCACTGTTTGTGGTTATTGACTTGCCATTTTGATGAATGGGATTTTAGTTCACCATACGTACCACAAAACAATACAGATCAGGAAGCTGTAGTGCAGTACAGTTCACAGTAAAATAGTCTATAAATGTCTCCATGGATACACATACTGTAGGCTAATTTAAGATCAGGAAGCTAAGGCTTGGATCAGAGAATGCCTCATTCCTCAGTAATTGTAATGTAAACAAGGGTCGTTACCATAAGGATTGGCTGTGTCAATAGGTTCATCCACTAATTGATTAACTCATTTGGTTATGTACATCTCGCTGACTTCACCGATGTGATCATTATTCAGTGATCATCCTAAATGTCAGATGACAGGTCGTCCACTTTTCCCCCTGAATAACCTTTCCTTGAAAATGTCTCTAGTCTGTGTGATTCTCTGTGACTCACCCCTAGCATCCATTTCGCAGATGGGTTGAATGTTAGTCAAAAGGTCAGCCTTATTGGAACATAGATCAGATAAACTTATTTTGAAAGGAATGACAAAACACAACATTTGAATCCATCTGCCCCCGGGTCTGGTTTTTCATGCTCCTTTATCTTCTCGTCTATCTTTCTATCATTCTATTTATCCCCCCAGCGGCCATTTTGGACGACCAGTCGGTGTGTGGGCGAGGGGAGCGGCTAGCACTGGCCCTGGCCAGGGAGAACATTAACAGTATCTTTGAGGGCTCTTCCAGAGCCCGGGTGGAGGTGGACATCTTCGAGCTGCAGAAGGACTCACAGTACGAGACCACCGATACCAGTGAGCATGATCAGTATAAACCATTATTTTCTAAATTGAGCTGGATATACATTTAATTCAATCAAATGTGACTGACGGGTTTCAAACCCAGGTCAAATCCTGGGTACCGCAATCATGTGTTAGCCCGCTGAGCTAATGCCAATGTTCCACTTACTGTCAACTACATCTGGATAGACACTTTACTCATACAAATTTGACAGAATGGGTTCAAACCAATATCTCCTGAGTGCCACAAGACTGTGTTAGCCCTCTGAGCTAAAGACAAGGCATTATCTCAGAGGAGCTAATGCAAGTCTTCTGATCCCAGGCAAGGTTACTCATCACATGAGTTACACCGACATACACTCACACAGTACAGTGTACCACTGACAGAAGTTATTGTCTTGGAGAAGGACAAATCGACCGAGTAAGCTAGGTGTGTGTGTGCGAGATCATTATTTTTCACGTTATAGATTTTTGTACTCCCACCATCACAAAGGAGGCAATATGGTAGTGGGTGTTAACAGTTGCTCCTAAAGCAGTGAGTGATCTGCAAGTATTCACGTGAAAACACACACACACACACACATATTTTTTACATTTTAGTCATTTAGCAGACGCTCTTATCCAGAGCAACTTACAGTTAGTGAGTGCATACATTTTTCTACTGCCCCCCCGTGGGAATCGAACCCACAACCCTGGCGTTGCAAGCCAATTGAGCTACAGGAGGCCATACACACCACAGGAGGTTGGTGGCACCTTAATTGGAGGGGGAAGGGCTCATAATAATGGCTGGAGCGGAATGAGTGGAATGGTATCAAATACATCAAACACATGGTTTGATGTCATTCCATTCGCTCCATTCCAGCCATTATTATGAGCCGTCCTCCCCTCAGCAGCCTCCACTGATACACACACACACACATTGCTGATCTGTCTCGGATCTGGGAGAGCTGTACAGGTTTTTCTGGACAGAATAATAACCCTAATCTCCAATAGACAGAGTGTGGATTCAGATTGCCGTTATGGCTACAATTAATCAAAAGTGTCCGGCATTGACTCTTAATTTGATATATCATCCAAGAACAGGACAGAGACAGAACTGGACCTCGTCCAAGACATTGACGCTTCCGTCTTGCTGGCAAATTCGCTCTCCTTACTAATTCCCCAGAAGCCCCCCGCGCACGCACGGTCCACCGGTCCGCGGGCTGGGCTTGTTCTGGGTCTTTCTGTCGGGCGGTATGCGGCGGGCGTTTCTGTCATGCGTGCGGAAAGGGAGAGGCGTTCTAGTGGTCTTTTTCTTTCTTTCGTTTCTTTCTTCGTTGCCTAGGGCGGCGCGCTCCTCTAGCGTCTTTAACTCGTCGCTTGCCTTTCTTCGCTCTTCTATCTCTCTCTCCCTCACCCTTCTCTCTCTCTCCCACCCTTCTCTCACCTTCTCTCTACTCTCTCTCTCTCTCTCTCTCTCTCTCTCTCTCTCTCTCGCTCTCCCCTCTGTCTCAGTGTGTCAGATATTGCCGAAGGGGGTGGTCTCTGTGATTGGCCCCGCCTCCAGTCCCGCGTCAGGGTCAACTGTCAGTCACATCTGTGGGGAGAAGGAGGTGAGCTAGCTATGTCCTCTAAACCACATTCACACTGCTACTCATACTGTATCCCCTTAGTCCCATAAACCACTACTCCACTACTTGTCTGCTTACTGGATGATTACCGATCATTGAAAGGACTGGATTTGAGTTTATTAGGTACACCCATCTAGTACCGGGTCGGACCCCCCTTTGCCTCCAGAACAGCCTGAATTCTTTGGGGCATTCTACAAGGTGTTGGAAACGTTACACATGGATGTTGGTCCATGCTGACGCGATGGCATCACACAGTTGCTGCAGATTGGACGGCGGTACATTAATGCTGTGAACAACCCGTTCCATCTCATCCAAAAGATGGTCTATTGGGTTGAGGTCTGGGGACTGCGCAGGCCACTCAAGTAAACTGAACACGCTGTCATGTTCTAGGCAATGTTTTTCCACTCCTCAATTGTCCAGTGTTGGTGATTGCTTGCCCACTGGAGCCACTTCTTCTTGTTTTTAGCTGAAAGGAGTGGAACCCAGTGTGGTCGTATGCTGCAACTGCCCATCTGTGACATGGATCGACGAGTTGTGCGTTCCAAGATGCCATTCTGCACACCACTGTTGCACTGCGCCGTTATTTGTCTGTTTGTGGCCCGCCTGTTAGCTTGCACGATTCTTGCCATTCTCCTTCGACCTCTCTCATCAACAGGCTGTTTTCACCCACAGCACTGCCCCTGACTGGGTTTTTTTTTTATCGCACCATTCTTGGTAAACGCTAGACACTGTCTTACGTGAAAAGCCCAGGAGAGCGGCCGTCTCTCAGATACTGGATCAGTCGTGCCTGGCACAGACGATCATATCACGCTCAAAGTCGCCTTTGTCACTCGTTCTGCCCATTCTAACGTTCAATCAAACAGTAACTGAATGCCTGGATACCTGTCTGCCTGCTTTATATAGCAAGCCACGGCCACGTGACTCACTGTCTGTAGGAGTGATCCATTTTCATGAACGGTTGGTGTACTTAATAAACTGACCAGTGACTCTATGTAGCACTGCTATAAATTGCTTTGGATAAAAGCCCCTGCTAAATGGCATATGTTATAAGTCCTTTCAGGTCAGTGGATGTTAGGAAGAGGAGATGTGGAAACAGTTCATGTTGGGACACAGCCAACATCGCTCTAGGAAATGTCCTCTCTGATCTCTCTCGCTCGGTCATAGTTCAGTGAACTCTGTAATGAGTTAACTGTGGTTCATTCAGTTTGAACCTGCATGGTCACACTTCGGTCATGCAGAGATTTGACCTGGTTAATACTGCTTCTTTCACTAGCAATGATAATGAATCAGTCTTATTCCATGTTTAGATTACGATCTCTCGTCATCTAAATCTGCAACGGGACGGATAATAATATAATCCATGTATGCTGTCAATCATCTACCAATGGAAATCTCTTCAGGCATTTTCACATTAGACTTTATTTCAGTACGGGGCAAACAGCAATTCATCCCAGGGGCGAAACATTTCAGACCTGGCCCTTAGCCAGATTAAGTCAAACAGGGATAAAATCTCGCTATAGGGAGAAAATGCAAATGTGAAAAAACGTAGCCTGTTTACCTTGGAGTTGTCTATGGATGAAATACCAGTATAAAAACACCTTTTGTTTTGTTGCACTTCAATTGGGTTGAATATGTCAATGTTATGGACAGAGCATGATAATACTGTCCAGGGTAAAAGCTTGAACGCTTAAAGGCCCAATGCAGCCGTTTTTTTTTTATCTCAATATCAAATAATTACGTTACTGTAATAGTTTTACATTAAAATGGTCAACAATAAACAAAAATAGCTTTTTAGCAAAACGATTTCTCAAGCAAGAATTTTGCTAGGACTGTCTGGGAGTGGTCTGAGTGACGAGGGGGAGGGGGAGAGATATGTAATCTGAAAACTAGCTGTTATTGGCAGAGGTTTGAAACTCTCTTTGTTATTGGTCTATATGAACTTATACTGCCTGGTGATGTCACCAGGCAAGCCAAAACTCCACCCATGCAAAACCTGCTGATTAGAAGGTCCTGTGTAGATTGTATTTTCAACTAGCAACTATCAGGAAATATCCCTGATCAAATGTTTTCACACTTTTACAGTGTTAGTTTCATCAGCTGTTGTACAATATGATACAAAACACAGGGAAAACATAATTTTGACTGCACTGGGCCTTTAATTTACCAGCCAACCACTTCCTCTCCCTTCCTTTACTCCTTTGCTTATTATAGTATACACATGTATGATAATAATAATCCATTATTATCATACATGTCCATCCTTTATAACATACTCATATAAACAATTATGAACACTTCCCATGACCGATTCATAATGCCTAAAAGTGCATTTATAACGCCTTATGTTGCCTGCTGTCTCAGATCCCTCATGTGAAGATAGGCCCGGAGGAGACGCCCAAACTCCCATACCTCCGCTTCGCCTCGGTCAGCCTCTACCCCAGCAACGAGGACCTGAGCCTGGCTATAGGGGCCATCCTCCGCTCCTTCAGCTATCCCACCGCCAGCCTCATATGCGCCAAGGCAGAGTGTGAGTGTATGCCTCAGGGTATCTGATACTGCATGCATGTTCCTATACTTCCCTACTTGTATACTTCCATACTACGATACTTCCCTACGTACACTCTTAGAAAAAAAGGTGCTAGCTAGAACCTAAAATGGTTATTTGGCTGTCCCCATGGGAGAACCCTTTGAAGAACCCTTTTTGGTTCCAGGTAGAACCATTTTTGGTTCCACGTAGAAGCCTTTTGGTTCCAGGTAGAACCCTTTTGGGTTCCGTGTAGAACCCTTTCCACAGAATTTCTACATGGAACCAAAAAGGGTTCTACCTGGAACCAAAAAGGTTTCTCCTATGGGGACACCCAAATTTACCTCCATACATCAACTCTCTACGGTTTGATCTGAGCGAATGTTGAGTGTGAGTGCAGGGTGTTCGATACTGCGTTTGTCTTATGCTTCTAGACCTTGCCTATTGTTACACCTGTGCCAAGGCTGAGTGTGGAGAGTGTATAAGGAATGATACATTGTATATGTTGTCATATGAGATGCCCTGCGTTGCTTTATGTGTCTTATCCAGAGCGACTAACATGAGCAATTATGGTTAAGTGCCTTGCTCAAGGGCAGATCGATAGCATGTTCACCTAGTCGACTCGGGAATTCTAACCAGTGACCTTTCGGTTACTGGCCCAACACTTTTAACCGCTAGGCTACCTGCTGCCTCCATGCTCACATAATCCTTTATTTAGCCAAGTAGGTTAAAGTAGTGCATAGCTATCCGTTGAGGTTTATGTATTGTGTATATGTTTTGACGCTTTAGACTTGTCAACGTACAGCCGATGACCCTGAAGCTTCAGCTGAGTAGTAGAGTGTATCATTTTGCATTGGTCTGATGCTCCACTCTTGAAATAATCCAAGTTCAACAAAGACCTTGAACTGTACAAGAGTATTCCAGTAGCCTGGAGCCATTCGTACATCCCTCTATCACCCTCCCATCAGTCCTCCTGCATTCCAGGGTCCCCTGCACACAGAGTGCAGCCGCCCAGTCAGTCCAGGTGGTGGATTAGCCCAGTTCCCCTCCAGAGTGGATTATGCCTTCCATTTATGAGCTGCTGCTCTATTCGACTGCTCAGGTCTGGGCCAAGGTCGGGTGCGCTGAATGCATCTTTTTACAGTCCACGCCACCCTCCCTCTTTATCGATCCCACTGTTTTCTACTTGGCTGGTCTGGTCTGTGCTCTGTGTAATGTTATTAAGCAAAATTGTTTATGTTTTTTCTCTTCTCTTGGTTTTTCTTGTTTTTTTTTCTCCAGTCGGCTACATTGCCACTGTATTGGTTTCTCTGGTCCCTGTTCAAGGCCCAGTTAAATTCCAGTCACCCTATGGAGAGTTTATTGTTGCCATTATCAAGGTCATTACATTTACATTTTAGTCATTTAGCAGACGCTCTTATCCAGAGCAACTTACAGTTAGTGAATGCATACATTTATTTGCATGTGATTTTACTAGTTTTTGGATAGAGTAACTCACTGGTCACTAAATGTTATAAAAAGGGGTAGGAAGTAAAGGTGGACATGTACTTCCATAGGAGGCTTGTCCAGGGAGGAAGAGGAGGATGGTCCTCCTCATTAATTTAAGGAAAAAGTGAAACAATTTAACACATTCAGAAATCCTCCTAACTCAAATTATACCTTTGTTACACACCTCACCTGAATATCTGATTAAACATACTGGTTTACAGAGAATGTGACCTTCTGGTTACCAAAGTAGTTTTAACCTCTTAAGGCCCAAGCTGTTTTTTTACATGCATTTTTTATTTCTCTTTGCTATTTGGGCTTATTGGAACCTAATTAGAATAAAAACTAAGTATCATCTTTTGATATGATGTACTTTTAGAGAAAAATGATGTCCACATATGTGGATTCATGGTCCGAATTGCATTAGGCTAACATTTTCAACACAACTAATTTAAGTATGTATGTATGTATTTAGTGATTTAATTGTTATTTATTTCATTGGGACCATGTACAGCTTTTTAGCTGCATCAGAGCTAGCTTTTTTCCCATTTTACGTGTGTGCATGTTTACAAGCATATTAGCTGTTTCGAGGAGCCTCAGTCCATAAGTACACTTACGTGTACTTCATGTTTAGCGACCTACAAAGTTGCTAGTTTTACACTTTTTTTTTTCAAATTTGCATGTCATGACAAATATACAAGGCTTTTATAAATATCTAAATCAGAATAAGCCATGAAATATGACAGAACTTCTACACAATTGTGGACATAAGAGCTAAAAAGTGCTGTCCACGTATGTGACCACTAAGCCCTAGGAGGTTAAAGTTACTCCACAACATAATATAAAGTGACGGGGGGACAGAGAAATAGAGCAAAATATAACGTTTTTTTCCGGTAGCAGTAATCAAAATGTATTTTGAAATAGCAATACAGTGCTCTGTAATGTTTGGTTGAGGTATCACAAAGTATGTGTTTCATTAAGCCTCTGACGTGCTCTGCCTCCACCCCATAGGCCTGCTGCGATTGGAGGAGCTGGTGCGGCGCTTCTTGATCTCCCGGGAAACACTGTCCATTAGGATGCTGGACGAAAGCCTGGACCCCACCCCCCTGCTGAAGGAGATCAGAGATGACAAAGTGGCCACTATCATCATCGACGCCAATGCTTCCATCTCCTACCTCATCCTCAGAAAGGTCAGGACCCTCACCAGTCACAAAGACAACTAACAACAGTGTGGTCCTCTGTATCTCAGGTGATAGAGCAAGGCGCTTGCAATGCCAGCATAGTGGGTTCGATTCCCGGGACCAACCATTCGTAAAATATATGCACGCATGACTGTAAGTCGCTTTGGATATAAGTCCTTCTAAATGACATGTATTATATATTATAGTTTAAAATCTTTTAAAAAAAATTATGTAACATGTATAACTCATATATAACACATTTGTAAGCAGTACATAAACATTCCATAAATGCTTATGTCAAGTTGATAATTGTATTATAGTGATGTTACCATGACACAATTAATCTACTTGAAGGTGTTGACATGAGAATGTATTAAATTCAAGAAATGCTTAAGCACTGCTTATGAATCTGAATCTGCTATGTATGAATTATTCATGTGTTATGAGATCCTTATGTAGGTTTGCCTTGCCCAGCTCAATGTCATTCTCTGCAATATAAAACATAGTACCATTTATCCTACTCTATATTGCGTCCAGAAGGCACATGATATATGTATGCTTTTAAATGATGTATTATTCTATTCTGTAGTCTACTGGTGGCACTACCAGTACCGTAAACTATGTAAATGCTAGATGTAGTGTTCATGTATGTTATGTGTATGCACGTGTAATCAACTGTCAAAATAGCAGATATGCGCTTTTAGGTCAAAATTGTACATGTTAAACACCTGCTCATGTGTATAAAGCTAATAAACTTGTTATCTGAATGCCATATGATAAAGTTACTGCATCACCCACAGTGCAGTACAGTTCAGTGTATCAGCACTGTTACAATGCCCCCCTCTCTCCTTTTCCACCCCTCAGGCATCAGAACTGGGGATGACATCAGCGTTTTACAAGTACATCCTCACCACCATGGTAAGAGCATACCAATCTAAATTCTCCACCCCTCCCGCTCCGTACCCTACCCACAATCCTCTCTGCTTGGCCTATGGACGGCTATCGCGGCGGATCTCATCTGAAATGCATGATGGGAGTGCACAGTTTGTCATCATTATTTCCCTGCTCAGCGCATGCCCTTGTGCGAGGTGACTTACATAGCTAACAATATTTTCTACATCTTATCCCGTCCCGTCTACAGTGCAGGGAATTTTTACTGTGGTACTTACAAGGGCGCACGCCTCACACCCCCAAGGGAGAAACGGCAGTTCCCTGAACATTAGAGAGGGACCAGAAATCTTTAAATCATGACCCTTTCATTTTCATAGCTGAATGGCACGCCACTCTACTGTCTGGAACTAGAACCATTTGTGTCCTGCCTCCCGGTACCAAAACGCTGTCCCTATATTGTACCATGGTCCTATATCGTACTGCTACACTGTGGCCTTACAGTATACAGCTATTGTGAGACGCTGTGGTACACTGTTACTACTGCTGTCCAACTGCAATTCACTTTTTCAGAGCCATATTTCAAATATACTGTATTTCAAAAAGAAGAAAGATGTACTTACTTACTACCCTCTTCTACCCCTATTCCACACTGCTATCTCATACCTCACTGTCGAACAATCATTTAATATACAGTACCAGTCAAAAGTTTGGACACACCTTCTCATTCCAGGGTTTTTCTTTATTTTTACTATTTCCTACATTGTAGAGTAATAGTGAAGACGTCAAAACTATGAAATAACACATATGGAATCATGTAGTAACCAAAAAAGTGTTAAAGAAATCAAAAGTTATGGAGGTGTGTTGGGTCATTGTCCTGTTGAAAAACAAATGATAGTCCCACTAAGCCCAAACCAGATGGGATGGCGTATCACTGCAGAATGCTGTGGTAGCCATGCTGGTTAAGTGTACCTTGAATTCTAAATAAATCACCAACAGTGTCATCAGCAAAGCACCCCCACACCATAACACCTCCTCCTCCTTGCTTTACTGTGGGAAATACACAGGCCGAGATCATCCGTTCACCCACACCGCGTCTCACAAAGACAAGGCGGTTGGATCCAAAAATCTCCAATTTGGAGACCAGACCAAAGGACAGATTTCCACCGGTATAATGTCCATTGCTCATGTTTCTTGGCCCAAGCAAGTCTCTTCTTCTTATTGGTGTCTTTTAGGAGTGGTTTCTTTGCAGCAATTCGACCATGAAGACCTGATTCACTCAGTCTCCTTTGAACAGTTGATGTTGAGATGTGTCTGTTACTTTTATTTGGGCTGAAATTTCTGAGGCTGGTAACTCTAATGAGCTTATCCTCTGCAGCAGAGATAACTCTGGGTCTTCCATTCCTGTGGCGGTCCTCATGAGAGCCAGTTTCATCATAGCGCTTGATGGTTTTTGCGACTGCACTTGAAGAAACGTTCAAAGTTCTTGACATTTTCCGTATTGACCGACCTTCATGTCTTAAAGTAATGATGGACTGTCGTTTCTCTACTTATTTGAGCTGTTCTTGCCATAATATGGACTTGGTCTTGTACCAAATAGGGCTATCTTCTGTATACCCCCGCTACCTTGTCACAACACAACTGATTTGCTCAAATGCATTAAGAAGGAAAGAAATTCCACAAATTAACTTTTAAGAAGGCACACCTGTTAATTTAAATGCATTCCAGGTGACTATCTCATGAAGCTGGTTAAGAGAATGCCAAGAGTGTGCAAAGCTGTCATCAAGGCAAAGGGTGGCTATTTGAAGAATCTCAAATATCAAATATATTTTGATTTGTTTAACACTTTTTTGGTTACTACATGATTCCGTATGTGTTTATTTCGTAGTTTTGATGTCTTCACTATTATTCTACAATGTAGAAAATAGTAAAAATAAAGAAAAACCCTTGAATGAGTAGGTGTGTCCAAACTTTTGACTGGTAGTGTACATCACTGGGGAGGGGGAAAACATTTTGCCCACCTGTATGGTTTAGCTAGCTCTCTCAGAATGTTCACTCCCAAGCTCCTCCCTCCCTCTTGTGTCAATCAGGACTTTCCCCTGCTGCAATTGGACGACGTGGTGGATGACCTGTCCAACATCGTGGGTTTCTCCATGCTCAACAGCAGCCATCCCTTCTACCTGGAGTTCATCAGGAGTCTCAACCTGTCCTGGAGGGAGGGCTGTGACCTCAGCCCTTACCCCGGCCCAGCGGTGAGAACCTGACACCTTCTATGTGGTTGTACTCATACACTATTACTGTTACTAAAACTGATACTCATACTCACTCTCTTTCATATACCGTACTCATATACTCTCATATACTATAACTCATATCTTCTGCAAACAGTCATATACTGTTTAAATAGTCTTACTGTCACTCGTATACTAATTATTTACTAACACTCATATACTTATTACTCATAGTTTTTCTCATACACTGTCACATACTGTTACTGCTGTCACTCATATACTGCTACAGTAACTTACTCATATACTGCTACAGTAACTTACTCATATACTGTCAGCCAAGTTTTTTATTGTGTACTCTCTACTGCTAAGTTACCCACGTGCTGTTACCCGTATACTCTCGACTATGATAACTTGTACTGATATAGTATTATATATTTAAGCAATAAGGCCCGAGGGGGTGTGGTATATGGCCAATATACCACGGCTAAGGGCTGTTCTTATGCACGACGCAACGCGGAATGCCTGGATACAGCACTTAGCCGTGGTATATTAGCCATATCCCACAAACCCCAGAGGTGCCTTATTGCTATTATAAACTGGTTACCAACGTAATTAGAGCAGTAAAAATAAATGTTTTGTCATACCCGTGGTATACGGTTTGATATACCACAGCTGTCAGCCAATCAGCGTTCAGGGCTCGAACCACACAGTTTACAATTTGCACCGTGCCTAAGAACAGCCCTTAGCTGTGGTTTATTGGCCATATACCACTCCCCCTCAGGCCTTATTACTTAACTATAACAGTATAATGACATCCAATTTCACATTCCCTCATACATTCTCACTCATACACTTACTCGTACGTGCAATGCCACACATTTACTCATACATTTCTAGGTCATACACAACAGAGGAGGCTGGTGGGAGGAGCTATAGGAGGACGGGCTCATTGTAATGGCTGGAATGGAATAAATGGAACAGTATCAAACCCATCAAACATATGGAAACCACATGTTTGACTCCGTTCCATTTATTCCAATCCAGCCATCCTCCTATAGCTCCTCCCACCAGCCTCCTCTGATACACAGACTTTATCACTATTCCTTTTTACACGGTCAAACTGCCAGTCGAAGTACACACATTGTCATGCTGTCACTCACAATCGGCGTGATTCACACTCTGCCAGGTTGGCTGATGCCTGACCAGTTGTCATTCATTTTTAAAGGGATACTTCGGGATTTTGGCAATGAGGCCCTTTATCTACTTTCCCAGAGTCGGATGAACTCGTGGATACCATTTTTATGTCTCTGTGTGCAGTTTGAAGGAAGTTGCGCAATGACTGGAAGTCTATGGGTATTCTATTGGGAGCTGCCAGCATGCTAGCAGATACCCATAGACTTCCAGTCATTGTGCTAATGCTAGTTAGCATTGGCTCGCGAAACTACCTCTAACTTCCTTCATACTAGACAAAAATGGTATCCACGAGTTCATCTGACTCTGGGAAGGTAGATAACGGGCCTCATTGCCAAAATCCTAAAGTATCCCTTTAAGGTTTGATTGAATCACACAGCTTTGGCACAGACCACAGTGTCACCTTGATTGAGTAACGTTACTTCTACCTCAACGTTTCTTTTTGTCTTTCTTTCTCCCTCTCTGTATATTTATGCCTGCCTCTCTCATCTTTCTCTCTCGCTCTCTCTCTACCATTGTGCCTCTCTCCATCTCTCTCTTTCCTTCCCTCCCTCCCTACGTCTTTCTTATTCTCTCTCTGAACATTTGTATCAACTATTCCCTCCCTCCCTCCCTCCCTCCCTCCCTCCCTCCTCCCCTTCCCTCTCTCTCTCCCACAGCTCTCGTCGGCTCTCATGTTTGATGCTGTGCATGTGGTGGTGGGGGCGGTGCGTGAGCTCAACCGGAGTCAGGAGATTGGAGTGAAGCCGCTCAGCTGCAGCACTCCTCAGATCTGGCAGCACGGCACTAGCCTGATGAACTACCTGCGCATGGTACCAACACCTGCTCTCTCTTTACACAATGCTGTCCCAATGCTGTCCCAATGCTGTCCCAATGCTGTCCCAACGCTGTCCCAATGCTGTCCCAACTAGCCCATTTTGTATTAGCCAACTGATTAATTTGCCAAGGCGACGATGTAATGTTGTTGACTGCAGAAACCGTTAGTTCACCTGTGTGTCTCAACTAGCCAGTTGTGCCACCTGCACATAAGCCAACTAATTGCTGTCTTGCCCCAGCAACAATGTAACATTGTTTAACCTTTTACTGCAGTGGGCTAAATCAGGGTAGAGTGTCCCTTGGTAGTCTTAAACAAATCTACTTTGAAAGAAAAGTATACACCTCATGGTTATGTGCTTACAAAAAATAAGACACCTGTACCATGTCAGATATAGAGTTCAAATGTATTCAATTTTGAGTTTGCATTCCAATATTACACATGATATACTTCACAGAAGACTGAAATATAACAAAACTGTTTGACATAGAAACACCAGATTTTCTGCAGTCATTTGACTGCAGGAAAGGGCTACTACAGGTCCAGCACTTAGTTGAAATATGCAATATGGCATGGTACATCCACCTGTTACTGAACACTGTCCCAACCAGCTTGGCTAGCTATTGATGCAGTTGTCCCCTTAGCCAACTCGTTCTCCTGCCAAGGCAGCAATGTAATGTAGTTGAATACAGAACAGTCAGGTACCAGTAGATTCCATGCTTAGCTGAAACATGGCTGCCTTTGGTCCTGAACTACAGAAGAAACAAGGGTTGCGGGACAAATCCATTTAAATTCAGTCAATTTTCGGGATGAATGGCATTTCAGCTCATGAAATAAAAGTGACTGAACTTTTCAGTTCATGAAGTGAATCCTGAATTATTGAGCAATTTACTGAGTTGGATTGGAATTGACCCCAACCCTACCAGTAGACTAACTAGTGAATAGCACAGCTCCACTTATACGTTAGTGCTTGAAGCACTGTCTTATAACCTTCCTGTCACCGTTGGGACTTTCGGTTGATGCCATGTTGATGCCACTACTGCTCTTGTTTTGTGGGTGTTGTTGCTGTTATTGTTGTTAGGGTTGTTGGTGTGTATTGTGGTGTTGATGGTATTCTTCCTATCGTCATTGTTGCACTCTGCTGGGCAGCGTAGTTTCTCTATTTTCTCTATTTTCTCTCCATCCTCTCCTCCTCCATTCCTCCTCTCCTATCGGAGTCTGCCACTTCTTAACTTCCCCCCATCTGTTTCTCCCCTCATCTCTCTCCATCTCAGACAATGTTTTCTCGCTCTCCGCGCATCATTCCATCATTCCTACACTCTCTTTGGCAGTGGTTCCACTCCTCTCCCCCTTTCTCCCCTCTCCATCCCCCACTCTGTTGTTCCTCGTTTGGGCATCTCTCCTTCTTCCTCTCTTTTAGGGTGTAATTCATCCTGAGTCTCTCTCCACGCCGCACATTCCGTCTCTCTGCATGCCTATTGTTTTAGCCATACATCTCTCTGTCTCTCTCGCCACTGTCAGCCATCTAATATACTGCGGCCAAGCCTAGCTATAGCCTGTCTGTTTGTATGGGCTGAATCTTTACCTCTCTCTTTCTCTCTGTTCCTCTGTCCCTCCCGCCTCTCTCTATTTTCCGCTCTCTTTCTCTTGCTACTTGAAATAATAAATGTATGTTTTCTATCTATCTATCTATCTCTCTCTCTCTCTCGCTCTCTCTCTCTCTCTCTCTCTCGCTCTCTCTCTCTCTCTCTCTCTCTCTCTCTCTCTCTCTCTCTCTCTCTCTCTCTCTCTCTCTCTCTCTCTCTCTCTCTCTCTCTCTCTCTCTCTCAGGTGGAGTATGATGGGTTGACCGGCAGGGTGGAGTTCAACAGCAAAGGCCAGAGGACAAACTACACCCTGAGGATCCTGGAGAAGCACCGTGGGGGTCATAAAGAGGTGAAGCGGTCATGGGTTCAAATGTCACTGGGTCATGGGGGGGGGGTCAGGGGGTGAATGGCTCTATTTAGGAGTTTATTTGACAAGCACTGGAGTTAGATGCATATTGACTAAGACATAAACATTGATCATGGGTTTAACCCTATTCTCTATCCATCTCTCTTTCCTTTGTCATCCCTGTGTTCAGATCGGGATCTGGTACTCTAACAACACGTTGGCGATGAACTCCACGTCTCTGGACATCAACGTGTCGGAGACGCTGGCTAACAAGACGCTCATCGTCACCACCATATTGGTAAAAACGTAGTGGTTTTGCACATTTGCATTGGTAGAATGTGAAACTGTTGGTTTTCTGTTGGCCATTTTGGGTCAAACAACATTTCTCAAGTGTTCAAGATTAATTTCATTTACCAAGAACAAAAAAAGGAGTCAGTCAGGGGTACACTAATCATTTTATTGTACAGTAACTTGTAATATCAGTTCTATACACCTCATCAAGTCAGTGCTAAGTAGATGTTAATCTCATTCATGACTAATAAGTCACATATAGCCACTTAATGACAAATCATTTCGCCAGTGACCTCTATGCAAGAAATTACAATATATGTAAATGCAGGTATGTGCACGCATTCCAAGTAAAGATTCAGCCCTTAGTAAATGCTTCAATACACTGTTCCTTATTTGAATTATGATGAAGAAATATTCAGCAACTGTTGGTAGGATGTTTACATAAAAAATATATATTACATATAGATTAACATTTTTGTCACTTAGCACACGTTCTTATCCAGAGCGACTTACAGTTAGTGCATTCATCTTAAGCTAGCTAAGAGAGAAAAACGCATCTCACAGCCATAGTAAGCAAATGTTTTCCTTAATAAGTGTCTATTAGCAAAGTCAGTGTGAGTATATAAAAAAAATAAAAAAAACTAGTTTCGGTAAATGCCTTCACCTTCTTTGAATTATAGCTCTTGAATGACCTTTTGCTTTCCTTCTATTGCAGGAGAACCCGTACGTGATGCGCAAGTCCAACTACCAGGAGCTGCAAGGAAATGACCGGTACCAGGGTTTCTGTGTGGACATGTTAAGAGAGCTGTCGGACATGTTGAAGTTCTCCTTCAGGATCAAGCTGGTGGATGACGGACTGTACGGAGCGCCTGAACCAAATGGATCCTGGACAGGCATGGTGGGAGAGCTCATCAATAGGGTAAGCCGTCATTGTAAATAAGTATTTGTTCTAAACTGACTTGCCTAATTAAATAAAGGTTACATTTCAAAAAGCACACACATGCCTACACTCACACGCATGTACACACACATACGCACACCGTCTAGACGACTGGTTGTAAAAGTGGGTCGATAGGGTGGGTCGTCAATCAGTCAAAGGCAGCCTAAGGTAATCGCCATGATAACTAACGAGAAGCCTGGCTAAAAACCTTGGTCTTGGAGAGCAATAGGGATGTGCAGGCTTTGCCCCAGCTCTGCACTACAAAACATGATACAATTAATCTAAAGTGTGATGATTATTTGATTAATTGAATCAGGTGTTAGTGCTGTGATTGAACAAAAACCTGCTAAGCTCTCTAGGACCATGGTTGGTAACCACTAATCAAAGGGGTGTGAAGTTATGCATATCAATCAAAGTCTGCTAATCGTCGGGTTAACCTGTAGCTCTCAGTGGTAAGAACTTATGGATAAAGAGCTGGTGTCACAAAATTCTGTTAATTTCCCCAAAGTTTTGCAACCCTAGACACAGCTTTTACCACATACACAATATATACAAAAGTATGTGGAAACCCCTTCAAGTTAGTGGATTCAGCGATTTCAGCCACACCCATTGCTGACAGGTGTATAAAATCAGCCATGCAATCTCCATAGACAAAACTGCCAGTAGAATGACCGTGGCAGCGTCATAGGATGCCACCTTTCCAACAAGTCAGTTCGTCAAATTTCTTCCCTGCTAGAGCTTCCCCGTTCAACTGTAAGTGCTGTTATTGTGAAGTAGAAACTTCTAGGAGCAACAACGGCTCAGCCGAGATCGGTGTGGAAGAACTTGATTGGCCTGCACAGAGCCCTGACCTCAACCCCATTGAACACCTTTGAGATTAGTTGGAACGCCGACTGCGAGCCAGGCCTAATTGCCAACATCAGCGCGTGCCCGACCTCACTAATGCTCTTGTGGCTGAATGGAAGCAAGTCCCCGCAGCAATGTTCCAACATTTAGTGGAAAGCCTTCCTAGAAGAGTGGAGGCAGTTATAGCAGCCAAACAGGGACCAACTCAATATTAATGCCCATCATTTTGGGATGAGATGTTCGATGAGCAGGTGTCCACATGCTTTTGGTCATATAGTGTATGTGGAAAGGGTTCTACATGGAACCCAAAATGGTTCTCCTTGGAACCAAAAGGGTTCAACATGTAACCAACAATGGTTCTTCAAATGGTTCTAGATAGCACCTTAAGGTTTAGGTTCTAGATAGCACCTTTAGGTTTAGGTTCTAGATAGCACCTTTAGGTTTAGGTTCTAGATAGCACCTTTTTCTCTAAGAGTGTATACACTGTAAGTGCACACACACCTGCATTCATGTGGAGTGAACACACTCTTTGTGGCACACACGGAGAGACACACACAAATGGATATGCAGAGTGAGCCCTCACACACACAAAGTTATGTAAATTCCATGAAAACACACACTCACTAGATTTTTTAATATGCATACTAATGCAATAAGCACACACACACACAAAAACTAACATTGCCTAAACACTTCATTAAATAACACACTAACCCACCCCCTTCTCTCCCTCTCTTCTGGTACGGCAAGATGAAAGTGGGTGAAACTCATTAATGAGTCTGTCCTCGTTAATCAATTAAGCTGTAATTAAGAAACTGAGAGGTGTCTGGTGTCTTGTTTTTGTTGGATCAGCCATGCACTCTATGATGACTGTGTCCTCTATGGTGTTTCCCGGCCCTCTCCTTCCTCTCGACCTCCCTCTTGAAGACTATTCCCCTCCTGCTCTCCTATATGTCAAGACTGCTTTCAAGTCCTCCTCGATAACCCCAATTGACATCCTTTTTTTTTTTATCTCTCTGCTCTCTCTTCCTCTTTCTTCCACTCCCCTCTGTCTTAAATCTGTCTCCCTCTATATTTTTATCTTTCTGTCTTTTCTCTCTCTCTCCCTCTCTCCCTTCTCTCTCTTTACCTCTCTCTCTTTCTCTCTACCCCCCCCCCCCCCCCCCGCCCTATCCATCTCCGACCCTCCCTCTCTACTACAGAAAGCAGACTTGGCGGTAGCTGGGTTCACCATCACCTCAGAGAGGGAGAAGGTTATAGATTTCTCCAAACCGTTCATGTCTCTGGGCATCAGCATCCTGTACAGAGTCCATTTGGTAAGATGACCACAGAGACCAGTCCATTTAGTTATGATTTACCACTAATGGTAAGGCACTGTCATTAAGTACAGATTATGTGTGCTGTACTATGTTGGTGCTTTTCCACTGTGGGAGTTGTCACTGCTCTTCCCATGTCCTTAGTGTCAGTGTTAGCTATGAAAAAGCAATTTCCCCAGTATGACACAGAAGTCCATGGAAAGCCTCAAGCTGGACCAGGGCTGCAGTAGAAAATGCACTGTTTTGTACATTGTTCCGTATATGGCTTAGTTGTTACTACCTCGGGTAACACTTTATTTGTGTGCCTATAAACTGTTTATAGATCATTATAAATGGTTTGTTAAGCATTAGTAAACTGTCTATCAGATGAGGATATATTTAGTACCATTGGTGGGTACAGTACATGTATAAATAATTTCTTATGAGGACACGTAATCATATACAAGTCATGAATATGCATGTATTCAAACTATGTAATGATGATTATAAGCATTTTATAAGCAGACATTAAAATAAAGTGTCACCCAACCGGATTCATCCAAAAAGCAATTATAATTTATGGACAACAAACAAACAAACAAACCACATTACTCTGTAGTGTAATATATTCCATTATCAATGTAATTACTCAAGCTGTCCTGGGTCGTATTCATTAGGTACCAAATGGAAGAAAATGGACTGAAACAACTTGTTTTCATTTTCTGTTGCAAAACCTTTTGCTCTGTTGTGTCCTAATGAATTCGACCTTGTACTCACATTGCCCAGTCTGTAATGCAATCAATGCTAATACTCTGCCCCATTGTGTTTGAAATCTGAACCGTCCAGTATTGATCTCCATTAACACAAGCTTTGTCCTCGTCCTCCAATCAGGGACGGAAGCCCGGTTATTTCTCCTTCCTGGACCCGTTCTCGCCGGCCGTGTGGCTCTTCATGCTGCTGGCCTACCTGGCTGTCAGCTGTGTGCTCTTCCTAGCCGCCAGGTAGCTAACTACCCCACCTAGTGGGCTGGGGGACACCTCAACTTGCATACACTAGCTAGAGCAGCCTGGTGGTCCTATATCTGTTGGCTAGATATGGGACCAGGTTATACATGTGGCTCTAAGTCTTCTTTCCCTCATCTACTTATCTAATAGAGAGAAGTGAAATGCAATTTTGAAGATCCTTTTTCACTCATTAAGACATGATGCTAGTATGTGTAAATCATATGTTGAAGACTAAAGCTCATAGTCCACCTCTCTCTCTGTCCACCTCCCAGGCTGAGTCCGTATGAGTGGTACAACCCCCACCCGTGTCTGATAGGGCGAAAGGACATGCTGGAGAACCAGTACACCCTGGGCAACAGCCTGTGGTTCCCCGTTGGAGGCTTCATGCAGCAGGGCTCTGAGATCATGCCCCGCGCCCTGTCCACACGCTGCGTCTCCGGGGTCTGGTGAGTGTGTATGGGGTGTGTGGGAGGGGGGGTTTGGGACGTGTGTGTGTGTCTAGCTACAGTATCAATCTCTGTATTCCTTCCTCCTTCCCTACTCCACTTTACTCTTCTCCCAAAGCTACTGTTCATCAGATCAGCCAGATGGCAGTCATACGGTGATGGGAATTATCTTATGCTGCAGTATTACACCCAACCTCATCCACTTCTTACTCTAGTTAGTTAGCTCCGTTGACTCTGAATTGTCTTGATACTGCAATGCGCTGTTCAGAATAAAACTGTGTTCAACCTAAAGGGTAAAGTAGTACAATAAGTTACTTTTTTTGATAATTATGTAGATGCTCAGACAATCAACAAACGTTTCATTAGATCAGTGCAGCAGCACTCTGTGAATGGAAAGAGTTCAACGATTTGTCATTTTGACCTTCACAAGAATTCAGAACAAGAACAAAACTTTGAGGTGTAATACAATGGGACGGTCTACTGGACAAAGATTAAGCCTATTTCTGGACAAAGATGAAGGGTTCTGATAACTTACTCACGTTTCCCAGGTTTTTCAAAAATCCTGGGTGGAAGATTTCAAGAATCAGGTGGGAATAAGGAGTGAAAAAGCAGGAAATGCAACCAGGATTTTTGGAAAATCTGGGAATTTTGGGAAAGTTACCATAATTCTGCCACCCTATTCTGGACTAACAACTAAGATCATATAGGTTGCTTTTTTAGTCCAGGAGTAGCCTAGGCTTAACTTTGCCATAATGTAACTTGTGATAATATGCCTGTCCTCTGTCCCTCCCTCCCAGGTGGGCGTTCACTCTAATCATCATCTCCTCCTATACGGCCAACCTGGCAGCCTTCCTGACCGTCCAGAGGATGGAGGTGCCCATCGAGTCGCCTGACGACCTGGCTGACCAAACAAACATCCAGTATGGCACCATCCAAGGAGGCTCCACCATGACCTTCTTCATGGTGGGGATTGCAACATTATCTCACAGCCTCATGGCAAAATGTGTAAAATAGCATGAGATTAGCTATAAAACTGCTAATTGCTCAGACGTTGCGAGGGGCCCAACGACACTGCGGTATGCCACTGGTTCAGGGGTGAGAGAGAGAGCGAGAGAGAGAGCGAGAGAGCGAGAGAGCGAGAGAGAGAGAGAGAGTGAGAGAGAGAGAGAGAGAGAGAGAGAGAGAGAGAGGAGAGAGAGAGAAGAGAGAAGAGAGAGGAGAGAGAGAGAGAGAGAGAGAGAGAGAGAGAGAGAGATAGATAGATAGATAGATAGATAGATAGAGGTACAGGAAGGATGGGGGTTAATGTGTATTTGGTGGGGGTACATGTGTTTGTATCACAGGGTATCACAAAAAGTTCTAAACCCTTATTTTCTTGCCATGACAACCTTCAACACACCCATAAACAGAACTCGCGCTACCAGACGTACCAGCGTATGTGGAACTACATGCATTCCAAGCAGCCCAGTGTGTTTGTGAAAAGCACGGAGGAGGGCATCGCCCGTGTGGTCAACTCTAAATATGCCTTCCTGCTGGAGAGCACCATGAACGAGTACCACCGCCGCCTCAACTGTAACCTCACCCAAATAGGAGGTCTGCTCGACACCAAGGGCTACGGCATCGGCATGCCCCTGGGTGAGTGGAGAGGGAGTGTGGTCGGGGGGAGGGGGAGAATGAGGGAAGGAGAGAAGGATGGGGTAGGAGGCATGCTGGACACCAAGGGTTACGGTTGTAGACCTTAACCACCAAGAGCTTTAGTCTTATTTGGTGTAATTACATCTAACGTATCATGTTATTACACCTCTCTCTCATTTTATTTTCAAGATCAAAATAAATGTAAACTTGCATATTCTTGCTGGAGGCCCACTTTAACATCAAACCCACATGGTTCAGATTGATTCCTAACTACATATTACAGCCTCGGGACAAATGACCATACAGGTCACTCTGTTTTAGCCTCCCACCATATCCACTATCTCTTTCATCTGTTAAATCCCCTAATCCATCATCAAACAATTCCAATCGCAAAAAAAAAAAATGTCTCCCAAGACTTCACTGAATTTCAAAACATCAAAGTAGGCCTCAGAGATACAGTATCACATTTCCCTCAAGGACTGACTAGGGATACATGTTTCCTCTTTCTTTCCTCAACATGCCTTTACATTGCCTTCCAGCCCAAAGGTCTCATCACCCACATTTTCAATAAAAAGCCTGTCGCCATGGCTACGGTTGCTTGTTCCTCAGCAACCTTGATGTTACACAAGCAGGTGGTTCTCAACAACAGACTCATGGACAGACTTGGTTCCTTGTTTTTTTAGGAAATATGTCTTTACATGACTCCAGTTATGTGTGAGCTCTTTCGCTTTCCCTATTAGCCGGGGTTGGAATTGGGGTGGAACGCTTGGGAACAGAGGTCCCAAAGTGAAAATCTCAGGAGGAACATTTTGACATTTAACATTTAGTTAGCTTTGTTAGCGGAGATCCATCTGTGGGGTTCAGAGAGTGATTTCTCCAGGTTCCACCCCAGCTTAGCCTATTACTGCATATTAACAATATGTCTGGTTGGCCTACCTTACGACCTCTGACTTACATGTATAATTGGTCTTTGTTGCATTGGCACAACAGCATGGATGCCAAACCTCTAAGGTTACAGTTGGCTCACATGTAGTGCAGAGCCCCAATTATACATTTCTCTCTGTCTCTCTCCCTCTCGCTCACTCACCCCCCCCCTCATTTTCTTTCTCCATCACCACATTCTCTACCTCTTTGTTAAGCCCTCTCTATTCCCAATCCTCTCTTGCTTCCTCGCTCCATCTTGATTCGATTCAATTCAATGAACTTTATTGGCACGATAAGTCACTATCTTTTATTGCCAAGCAAGGACACAGGAAGTTAAATCAATAATGAGGACATGGTGATACACAATGAATAGTAAACACAATTAACAATACAGTAATATTGTTCTCTCTCTCTCTTTCAATCCTTCACTCCCTCCTTCCTTGTCTGTCTGTTTCTCTCTCTCCCTCTCTCCTTTCCTCCCTCTCTCTGTAACTCTCCCTCTCTCTCCCTCCCTCCCGCCCTCTCTCTCTTTCTCTCCCCAACCCTCTATCTCTCTCCCTCCTCCCCCTCTTCCTCAGGCTCACCGTTTAAAGAGGAGATCACTCTGGGGGTGTTACAGCTGGCAGAGAACAACAGGCTGGAGATCTTGAAGAGGAGGTGGTGGGAAGGGGGGCAGTGCCCCAAGGAGGAGGACCACCGAGCCAAGGGTGGGTACAGCACCACCTGTGCTAGTAGTTTTTATTTTACTTAACCAGGAAGTCCCATTGAGGTCAGAAGACTTCTTTCGAAACGGAGACCTGGCAAAATACCAGCACTAATGATTAGGGGCCCCCCATATCAAGCGTTTCAGAGTAGGACTGCTCATCTAGGATCAGTTTTTCCTTTTTTATCGTAATCAATAAGATTACATGGACAGGGGGGACCTGATCCTAGATCAGCACTTCTAATCTGTGAGGCTTGATACATACGGCTAGTGGTCTGCAATGAAACACTTGTGGGGAAATTAAGTAGGACCCTAACCCTCACATACCCTCACAACCCAGCATACCTTGAATTAGGCTAGTAAATACACAACATTTCCAACCAGGAGTGGATCTCCATCAGGTCCTAGTCTTGGAGGTGCTCTAAAATGTTTATAAGGACACCCACGTTAATCTTTTCAACGAGCACCCAGCAACCGTCATTTGAACTTTGCTATTAGAATGTATACTAATTGCTGAGATTATGTTAATTTGTTCCAAACCAGCTCCTATGCAGTCACATTAGAATTGCACACTACTAATGTACACAATAACAGTTGTACACAATACAATGCAGACATTTCCTCAAGTAGTAGCAAGCACTTGTTTCTTAGATACTCATAAAGTCAATGTTTTTTGGTATCACAGAATCGTGGACACAAGTGTATTGGTAAATGTAGCCCATTCTATTCCCATCACAATGACTCACAGCTGGAAAATTCCATTTGCGTTAGATATGTGTGTAACATGTTGGGTTTATTATGCCTCATCCTTAAAGATGGATTCCGCAGTAGGGGAAAACGGTGTCACTGTCCGCCCCACCACCACCATTGTTATTGTTTTGTTTTGTTGACGAAGCACAGGTGACGAGCATCTCGCAACATGAAAATAATAATTGCAGTACATATTCTGCTGTTCTATCGAGCATGCAAGTTCGAAGGGAAAAACAGTGTTCGTTGTTTGCAATAACTTCTTTGTTGTTATAATATCTCAAACGGATGTGGCAGTTTCACCATTAAGGATTCCAGGTTTAAGAACAAACCAAATTTGGAAGATTTATTTTATTAGTGTTATGATTACTGCATATAAGTGTCTACATGGTGTGTTTGTTTGTGTGTGTTTGTGTGTGTGTGCACGTGCACGCGTGCGTGCATGTGTGCCAAAGCAAATTTTGTATTTGCTTTGCCTGTGTGGTAGACATTTCCCCTTTTCCGAAATGTTTCTTATTTTTCATTTCTACTGTTTCCTTTTGGGACATCTGCTTTTGGGACTTTCTGTCCCCTTCTCCCATTCCAAATGCCTAGATAGCTACAAGCAACAGACTGGACAATATAGAATAAGACGTAGCACGCTAGATGTTGTTTGTGTTTTGCATATTAGGCAGCCCACAGTAAGACACAGGTTTGTCCCAAATGGCACCCTATCCCTATATAGTTCACTACTTTCGACCAGACACACTGGTACTAGTTATGGTTGAGTCATCCATGGGATAAATCGGTATGCCCTCAGGTTAAAGCAGTGAGACTTGAGCCTTTGTTTTGATACACTCGACATAACAAGGGTACTTGCATTCTTATGAGACATTTTGAAGATAAAAAACATAAAACCTTCATGTTGAATATTCTGTCTTAAAAATAGAACAGGAAGAGCCAAAGGTGATTCTTGTGGTTGATTTACTTATTAAGTCAATGAATGCAGGATTGATGAATTGTACACACACACAACAAATCAAATCAAATCAAATTGTATTTGTCACATGCGCCGAATACAACAGGTGTAGTAGACCTTACCATGAAATGCGTACTTACAAGCCCTTAATCAACAAGGCAGTTCAAGAAATAGAGTTAAGAAAATATTTACTAAATAAAGTAAAACATTTAATAAAAAAGCAACATAATAAAATAACAATAATGAGGCTATATACAGGGGGTACTGGTATCGAGTCAATGTGCGGGGGTAAAGGTTAGTCGAGGTCATTTGTACATGTAGGTAGGGGTAAAGTGACTATGCATAGATAATAAACAGCGAGTAGCAGCAGTGTAAAAACAAAAAGGGGGGTCAATGTAAATAGTCCGGGTGGCCATTTGATTAATTGTTCAGCAGTCTTATGGCTTGGGGGTAGAAGCTGTTAAGGAGCCTTTTGGACCTAGAGTTGGCGCTCCGGTACCGCTTGCCGTGCGGTAGCAGAGAGAACAGTCTATGGCTAGGGTGACTGGAGTCTTTCACAACACACATACTCACTGTGGGGACATTATGCCGCTTAAGGTTCATTTAGCTTTTCTCCCCTTAAGGCTTTGTATAGAGAGTATCAAAGGGACCTTATGATCCTGTGGAGGCTATTTCGTTGTGTACATTTGCCTGTGCTTTTTCTGTCCCCTATGTGTGTGTGCGCACGTGCCTACACACAGCTCTACCATTACCTCTCTATCCATGGGTGAGAACTGCATACATCATTAATCTGTTCCTCCCCAGGTCTGGGCATGGAGAACATCGGGGGTATCTTCGTGGTGTTGATCTGTGGCCTCATCATCGCCGTGTTTCGTGGCCATCATGGAGTTTGTGTGGTCCACCCGCCGCTCGGCAGAGACAGATGAGGTACGCCCTCACTTCTGCCCCGGCCGAAACCACAGACACCCTCCAGTAGGTTACTATGGCAACACAACTCCCGCCCGCCAGCCCGCTCTCTCTCCCTCTCTCTCGTGTGGTGTGTAGTGCAGTGCAGTGAATGTTGTGCTTTGGTGTCGTTGTGCTGATGTGTAAATGGCTGCAAGCAAACAGAGGGTGATGGTCGTCGTCTGCGTTTCCTTTCTTTCTCCCTCTCCGTCGCTCTCTCGCTCCCTCGTCTCCCTAGCTCTCTGTCTAGGCTGTCTGTAATTCAGTTCTCTCTCCCCCGCTCTCTCTCCCTCTCTCTCCCTCTCTCTCTATCCCTCTCTCCCCCTCTCTCTCTCTCCCTCTCTCTCCCTCTCTCTATCCCTCGCTCCTTTGTCTCTCTCTCTGTGTTTTGTGTTGGTCATTGTTATTCCTCTCTCTAGTCCATTGTGTTGTTTATTTCATTGTCGTCTGGGTAAAACGCTGTTTGTGACTTTCATTTGCTCCTGCTTTATCTCTGCTTGCTGCTTTGTTTGTTTTTGTGATTCCTGTCTCAGTTGTCTCTCCCTCTCTCCATCTTTATCTCTGTTCTGTATTTGACATCCTTTTGAATAGTGTCACTAGAGGTAGCTACTCATTACTCATATTTTCGTTGCCCAGAGGTCACACCGTATTTGAACAGTACAACAGCTTTAGTAAACCTCGGAAGATTTTGCTCTCTCTTTCTCTCCCTCTCTCTCTACCACATTCACACTATCATCCCCTTCTCTCTTCATCTCCCCCCGTGTAGCTCAGTTGGTAGAGCATGGTGCTTGCAACGCCAGGGTTGTGGGGTTCGTTTCCAGTATGAACTCACTAACTGTAAGTCGCTCTGGATAAGAGCGTCTGCTAAAATGACTAAAATGTAAAAAAAATTAAATCTCCATATCGCTCCTCTCCCTCTCTCTGTCGTTCTCCCTCTCTCTATCTTCCTCTTCTCTCTCTCCTAGGTGTCAGTGTGTCAGGAGATGCTGACTGAATTCCGCAACGCCATCTCCTGTAAGAAGAGCTCACGCTCTCGGCGCCGGCGGCCCTTGGCCAGCACTGGCGGCGTCCTGCGCCACCCCAGCCGCCTCCAGCTGGGTGTCCCGAGACCCATCCGCCTAGTCCGCGAGATGCGCCTCAGCAACGGCAAGCTGTACAGCAGCTCGGGCCACCTGACGGGTGGCGGGGGAGCAGCAGGGGGGGTGTGCGGGGCCGTAGGGGGGGGACCGTCAGACATGGGTCCGGGGCCACAGCGCCTCCTGGAGGACCCGCTGGGTGCCAACACCACAACGCCCCCTCCCCCGCCCGAGGCTGCCACGGCACCTCCCTCTCGGAGCTGTGCCCACGTGCGGATCTGCCAGGAGTGCCGGCGCATCCAGAGCCTGAGGTCGGCATCGTCCTGCTCACGCATCCCGCCCCACCTCGGTCCACACTCTTCCCTGTCCCTGCCCCGCCTCCCTCCACCCCCGCCCCCCTCCTCCACCAATACCGACAGCGAGGGGGGCGGCTGCGGCACAGTGAGCCCCAAGCGCCCCAAACCTAAGCCCACGCCCCCTCCACGGCCCTTACCCCCGGCCAAGACGCCCACCACAGACCTGCTGCTGGGGAAACAAGACTGAGGAGGGACGGAGGGGTTGGACATGTGACAAGAGTCGAGGGTTAAAAGTCAAAGGTCAGGGTTCTTACAGAGAAACGCGTAGGAACGAGGAGTGGAGGGGGCTGTGAGCTTGTAGCGCATTGCACGGCAGAATCAAACCACTCTGACACGTTTGAGAGGGTGGCGAAGGGGTTATTCTCCACGGCCGAATTTGGGGAGATACCAACCCAGTCAAGGCCGTCCTCCTAAACCAGGAGTCCTGCTAAGCAATGGAACAGGCTGTCTATGGAGTGGAAAATGACTTTTGACCACATATGACAGTTAGCTGCCTACGGTGCATTGAGAGACCATCTGGTGACCGTTCGACAGTAGGCATAAGTGTGTTCAAACTGCCCGGTTTAGCTTTTGACCTTCTCTCTCTCTTTCACTTGGATCTGATGGAGGACTTCACCTATCCCACAAGCGCCAGAGAGGTTCAGGGGACCATAGAGACTTCAACCACACACACTTACACAGAAACTCTTGCGCTTAGAGAAGTTGGTTCTCACAAGAAGATGCATAGTTTTTCCCCAGAGCTGCTGCAAGAGCTTGAACTTTGGAATTCTGGGACATGTAAAACCAGAGGATAAAAAAAATGTGTTTTTTATTTGCTTTCTCTCAGAGTCTAACTCGCCTAATTTATTTTATATCTTTCTTTCTTTCGTTATATATTTTTATTGTTGTCATTGGTTTCTTGGTCACTGTTTAGTTATTGACTCATGTTTTTGGTTTGTCATTAAAGATCCTTAAAAAAGCCAATGTGGAGATCATGACCATTTGTGCATAAATTAGGTCTCTTTCCCACCAATCACAAGCCCGGGAGCAAAGTTCAAAGGTCAATAGTCTAAAGAGGACTTCTCTAAAACATATACTGACAGTATACCCAGATCAAATGACTCAAAATTACAGTCCATGTTGGCTTGTCACAGTAGCAGAGTGTGGCTTTGCATTCCACTGATCAACAAGCTAGTTTTGCCACAGAGTTTTAACCACAGAGTTAGTGTATCGGAGTTCATTACGGAGCATCAGAGCTACAGAACGCAGTTTAACAACACAATATGTTGTGAATCCTTCAAACAGATCAGAATTTAAGATACTGGATATAAAGAGCAAGGGAAAAGGAGAATACCATCCTCAGCAAAAGGAATGACAAATGAGACAAAATGATGATTAAATATAGTTATACAAAGCAGAACAGGAGAAACGTAATGCACAGTCCTTTCTGGCCAAAGGTGACAGGAAACCTGTGTTAATGTGTGTTCTGTGGGATTCATATGGGTGTCATAAGTTTGTATGTGTGTGTGCGTGCATACAGAGGAAAGGATGGGTCAAAGTGCATTTTGTTTTATTTTATGCTCTTTCTTTTTTTCTTTCTTTCTTATTTTCCCTCAGGTTTCTATACCAGTGCTAAATGGATTATTAAGAAAATGACGACAAATATATATTATTATATTGTTATTATTATTACAGTTGACGTGTGGGGTACTGTAGGAGGGCCGCAGTCCTCTTATGTTAAATATATAGACACACAAAGGTATTTGGAATAAAAAAACAGTATACAAACTACTGAATCTGGTGTCTTTGCATATGTCCTGTGTGTGCATGAACATAAACGTGATTTCATATCTATAAGTTACAATTTCCTGATGTATGTAGTTGTGTCGTTGGTGGTCTGTCACACAGGATGCTGTACACTGCACTGGCAGATTCATACAAGTCATGAGAGGCCTCAACAATACATTGTGTCTCAGTAGAAGGATCTACAGTGCAGTAGAGTACAGTACAGTACAGAATAGAGTCATTCAGTTTGTAAAAGCGACAAGTAGCATGCATTTTTCTCTGTCTAGAACGGTTTTAGACGTCCTGGATGGATTTGTTTATTTTGAGGTCACTTGTGACTTTTGATGTCAGCTGTTGGTAAGATTCATTAATACATTTTGACTGTTGCATTAAATAGGGGAGCGAAGAAAACAAACTTTCTTGATGTATTGGGTGGATTGTATCTCTCTTACCACTGCAGATAGTTTAGGCCTATATCCATGCCATCCACACTTGTTTGCTGAAGTAAAACTAATCTCTCTCAGGATACTGCAATGGAGAGAGCCAACTGCCAGCTGGCCCTGTGTTTGTGGTACTGGGAAAGAATGCCACGTTTAATACCACCCTCAAACCCTCAGATGTGGTCAACTTTATCACTGTAGCAAGGAATTTCAATGGTGGCAGTGGACTTGTACCTGTAGTCACTTCTGCGCCCAGAGGACAGACAGTTGGCGCTACGCAGGAAGAGTGTCATTGAATTAATCTACCTGCGCCCGACTTGTACCTTTGATGACGAAAGATAGCAGGGATTATTCCCTACCTTCAGGCTTGTATATATAAAAAAGATGATTACAAGCGCCTATATCTGGTATTTTTTATTTGGGATAGAGAGATTTGATAGATTTTCACAGCACAACATCCCCTGGCCAACCTTCAGCTTCTCTTACCACAGCCACATCTTCACACAGTATGAGGCCATCACTAATCTGACACAGGATCAGTAGTTAACAGTGTAATACAGCCACTCCACAATGCTAACCAGTGCCACAGGGTGTCAGTAGGCCTATAGTCAAGGCATTGAGGAAAACTGGAAAATACACTCCATGTAAAGGAGTTCTTAATTCACCTGACTCCTTCAGTTACAGGTTATGAGATAATTGTAATGTTCATATTTGTGTAACACAGCTAGTGTCAACATAAAAGTGACTTTAAATGTACATTGAAGATTCCAGTTCCCGCTGTCTCACAGGATGTTGTGCACTGTATTGGCACATCTATACAGGTCATGAGAGATCTCAACGATGTACCATGTCTCAAGGATCTACGGTAGAATAGAATAGATACTTTATTGTCCAGACTGAATTTTTCTTTACTTCTGTCTGATATTCTGCCTCCAAGACCTAGTCTCAGAAATTCCAGACCTAGAAACATAGTTAATGTGGGAGGCAACCCGTCTGCCTAAGGAAGACCCAAACCTTGTGCCCACTGTACAACTGAACTGTCAAGATGAAACCTTGTCTACCTTATTCCACTGGGTGTCAGCCCTGTCAAGGCAGATGGCAAAATCAAACGTTTACCTAAAACAATTACAATAGACTACTGTACAATGTTTTTTAGGGTTTGGGGTGAATATCTTTTTAAAACATAGATGTATTTTTTTGTCTTAGAAATTGTTTCCCATGGTGGAAAGGTACAGTAATTCCTACTTTTCAAGCAATACATTGTATTTAGTTTTTCTTAAATGGTTGAATTGCTACATTTGCAGTAATAGTAGCCTTGCCATTATATGAGCTGATATGATGACGTGTCATAAATTGTTAGGCTATTTGAAATATTTTGGGCACACAACTAGACAGTATAATTTATTCGATTTTTTTCATTCTCAGCAGTAATAAGAGTTGGTAGTATGTCAAAATAGAGTGTGGTATGTGGATGGGTAGCAATCCATTCTAAGAGGCGGGTTTACTGATGTTGACACCTTTACTGGGTGTGTACCATTAGGGAGAGTACTCATTCAGTTTGTGAAAGCAACTGGTAGTCCGCATTATTCTCTGTCGCAAGAAGGGTTCCAGACATCTGGGATGGATTTGTTTAATTTGAGGTCGCTTGTCATTTTGCTGTCAGCTGTTGGTAAGATTCATGAATATATTAATTATTGTTAGCCCTACATTTAATAGTGGACCGAAGAAAACAAAATGTTTTGAGATGTGTTTGGGTGGGTTTGTTTTTGGAGGCGCAATCTGAAGGTGCATTGGCGTTGTTGTAGTAGAATGCCTTTTTCAGGCCAATAATAGGCTACCATAACAAACATGTATTTATAGTTGTTCACTAGTGCATTGCTTTTAGCTTGCTTCTGTCTTGATGTCTATCACACACTTATATGTTGAAGTGAACACCTTTACTCAAACTGGTTTCTCTCAGGACGCTGCAACGGGCAGAGCGTACTGCCAGCGGGCCCCTTGGAGGGAGTACAGGGAAAGAACGTCACGTTCAAAACCATCATCATGCCCACAGATGTAGGCAACTTTATCACAGTATCTTGGAATTTCAAAGGTGCTAGTGGACTTGTACCTGTTGTCACTTCTGCGCCCAAAGGAGAGACAGTTGGCGCTGGCTACGCAGGAAGAGTGTCACTGAATTCATCCACCGGTGAATTGAAACTGGGAACCTTGACGGCGAAGGATAGCGGGGACTATGCGGTGACCATGGTCACAAGTGCTGCAGAACAGCGCACAGGTGTAACGGCGCTCAGAGTTCTAGGTGAGTACACATTTTGGCATATGTTTGCCAAAATCAACTTTGTTATTTACTTCCTGGTTAAGCGAGCAGTGTGTCAAGAAGCAGTGCGGCTTTTCGGGGTCGTGTTTCGGAGGACACATGGCTCTCGATCTTCACCTCTCCCGAGTCCGTACGGGAGTTGCAGCGATGGGACAAGACTGTGACAAAATTGGGGAGAAAAATATATAAAAGCCTAAAACGATCAAAGTGAGAAATAAACTGAAAAGGTGCTGCTAAGCCTATAGGCTCAGGGTCTTTGAATTAAATCCATCTTTAGGGTGTGGCCCTGTTGCTTGGAAAAGGGACCTTCTAACCTACTACCACACTCTAGCAATATGGGATGGAGTTATGTCACTGGCATGATACTGTAATGCTACAGACCTAGGCCTATCTTCAGCAGTGTGGGTGTCTGTGATGGCACAACGGATTTCCCGGATTGATGCTTATCCATGCCAATATCCCAAATTAGTTTTGCCATATCTCAGCTAGACACATACAGTGCCTTCAGAAAGTATTCATACCCCTTGACTTATTCCACATTTTGTTGTGTTACAGCCTGAATTAAAAGTGTATAATAAATACAAAAATCTCACCCATCTACACACAATACCCCATAATGACAAAGTGAAAACATGTTTTTTGACATTCTTGCACATTTATTGAAAATGAAATGCAGAAATATCTCATTTACATGAGTATTCCCACCCCTGAGTCAATACTTTGTAGAAGCACCTTTGGAAGCGATTACAGATGTGAGTCTTTCTGGGTAAGTCTCTAAGAGATTTCCACACCTGAATTGTAAAATATTTGCCTATTACTCTTTTCAAAATTCTTCAAGCTCTGTCAAATTGGTTGTTGGTCATTTCTAGACAACCTTTTCCAGGTCTGCCACAGATTTTCAAGTAGATTTAAGTCAAAACTGTAACTCGGCCACTCAGGAACATTCACTGTCTTCTTGGTAAGCAACTCCAGTGTCTGTTGGAAAGCAGACTGAATCAGGTTTTCCTGTGCTTAGATACATTCTATATTTATTTTTTTATCCTGAAAACTCCCCAGTCCTTAACGATTACAAGCATACCCATAACAAAATGCATAGCGCATAGAATTAAAAAGGTATTGTCAGATATTATTCATCCTAGTCAGACAGGTTTTTTTACACGATACATTGGAGATAATATAAGACAAGTATCTGGGAACCCAGGCCTGGTATTCATTGCCTATTTTTAAAAGGCTTTTGATAAAGTACGACTATAATTAATATATATAAATGCCTGGACTATTTAATTTAGGAAAATATCTTATACAATGGGTTAAAGTTATGTATAGTAACCCCAGGTGTAAAATAATAAATAATGGCTACTTCTCAGAAAGTATTAGACTGTCAAGAGGACAAAAACAGGGTTGTCCACTATCGGCATATCTATTTATTATGGCCATCGAAATGTTAGCTATTCAAATCAGATCCAACAATAAAATCAAGGGGCTAGAAATCCAGGGCTTAAAAACAAAGGTGTCATTGAACACTGACGACTCATGTTCTTTTAAATCTGCAATTTGGATCCCTGCACAGCCTCATAGAGGATCTAGATAACTTTTCTAACCTCTCTGGATTACAACCGAACTATGATAAGTGTACCATATTACATTACCGTGCAGTTTACCAATAAAATGGTCTGACGGTGAAGTGGACATACTCGGTATATATCCCAAAATAAATAAATAATCTCACTACTATACATTTTTAGTTAGCAAAAAATTAATAAGATCTTGCTACCATGGAAATGTAAATACCTGTCTATTTGTGGAAAAATCACCCTGATTAATTCTTTAGTCATATCCCAGTTTTCCTATTTACTTATGGCCTTGCCTACACCGAACAACTAGTTTTTTTAAATTCTATGAGCAAAATATATTAAATGTTATTTGGAACGGCAAGCCTTACAAAATTAAACGGGCCTATTTATATAATAAATACGAATTCGGTGGGCTAAAATTATTAAATGTTAAAGCATTGAACCGCTCACTAAAGGCTTCGAGTCATACAAAAGTTATACTTAAACTCTGAACTGGTTCTCCAGCAGAAGTAAGAAAGGCTCACCCCGTGTTAAAAATTAGCCTCTTGACCTTGAGGTGAAATGAAATCATCTCTAAAATATCGCTATTTTTATAACCATAGAAAGCTGGTTGCAATTTCAGTTTAATCCACCATAACAGAACAAATATTACAACAAATATAAATAAACTTGTATAATCTTTGTTAATGATAAGTAGAGTTGGTGAAGCTGTCACACATGCAGCTAACAAATGTCTGCTCGATCCAAAATTACAACCAACTGATTGCCACATTACCACACAAATGGAGGAGGAATATGAAAGGGGGAGAAGCTAAGGAACTTGTCTGTCGACATTTACCTAAACCTAACTCTGCAAATAGCACTGCTGGGTGACTTTAAAAGCCACAGTCATTCGATCGTCAATAATATAATAAAACTCTTAGTAAAAATGTTCATCTTTAATTTAAAATCTGTAGAGACTATGAGAATAGAAAAGTTCTGAGCTTTTGTGAAACATCACAGCACAGTTGAAAAATATATGGAAAGTAGAAATCTAAACAGAAATACCTTGTTTACATAAATATTCAGACCCTTTGCTATGGGACTCGAAATTGAGCTCAGGTGCATCCTGTTTCCATTGATCATCCTTGAGATGTTTCTACAACTTCATTGGAGTCCACCTGTGATAAATTCAATTGATTGGACATGATTTGGAAAGGCACACACCTGTCTATATAAGGTTCCACAGTTGACAGTGAGTGTCAGAGCAAAAATTAAGCAATGAGGTCAAAGGAATTGTCATGTGGAGCTCCGAGACAGGATTGTGTCGAGGCACAGATCTGGGGAAGGGTACCAAACTATTTCTGCATCATTGAAGGTCCCCAAGAACACAGTGGCCTCCATCATTCTTAAATGGAAGAAGTTTGGAACCACCAAGACTCTTCCTAGAGCTGGCTACCTGGCCAAACTGAGCAATCAGGAGAGAAGGGCCATGGTCAGGGAGGTGACCAAGAACCTATTGGTCACTCTGACAGAGCTCCAGAGTTCCTCTGTGGAGATGGGAGAACCTTCCAGAAGGACAACCATCTCTGCAGCACTACACCAATCAGGCCTTTATGGTAGAGTGACCAGACGAAAGCCACTTCTCAGTAAAAGGCACATGATAGCCCGCTTGGAGTTTGCCAAAAGGCACCTAAAGGACTCTCAGACCATGAGAAACAAGATTATCTGGTCTGATGAAACCAAGATTGAACTTTTTGGCCTGAATGCCAAGCGTCACGTCTGGAGGAAACCTGGCACCATCCCTACGGTGAAGCATGGTGGTGGCTGCATCATGCTGTGGGGATGTTTTTCAGTGGCAGGGACTGGGAGACTAGTCAGGATCAAGGGAAAGATGAATGGAGCAAAGTACAGTGAGATCCTTGATGAAAACCTGCTCCAGAGCTCTCAGGACCTCAGACTGGGGCGAAGGTTCACCTTCCAACACGACAACAACCCTAAGCACAGAGCCAAGACAACGCAGGAGTGGCTTGTCTGAATATCCTTGAGTGGCCCAGCCAGAGCCCGGACTTGAACCCGATCGAACATCTCTGGAGAGACCTGAAAATAGCTGTGCAGTGACGCCGCCCTTCCAACCTGACAGAGCTTGAGAGGATCTGCAGAGAAGAATGGGAGAAACTCCCCAAATACAGGTGTGCCAAGCTTGTAGCGTCATACCCAAGAAGACTCGAGGATGTAATCGCTTTCTAAGGTGCTTCAACAAAGTACTGAGGAAAGGGTCTGAATACTTATGTAAATGTGATACTTCCATTATTTATTTTTAATACACTTGCAAAAATTTGCAAAAGTTTTTGCTTTGTCATTATGGAGTCTTGTGTGTAGATTGATGAGGGGGAAGAAAATATTTAATCAATTTTAGAATAAGGCTGTAACGTAACAAAACGTGGAAAAAGTCAAGGGGTCTGAATACTTTCTGAATGCACTGTACATAGTATGTATAAGATGGAAGTAGAAGCCTAAGTATTGTTTTCCATTAGTTTACTCCAATTATGGGAGGGGTGGTAGGGTTAGGGTAAAATAATGAAGAAAAAACTATATGGGGGATTGGAAATGATGCAGACAATTACATTGATAGAACCCATAATCTATATGCAATATTAAAGCTGACCTAACCCCTAAAAAAATATATAATAATAATAAAAAATATATACATGCCCATAACATGATGCAGCCACCACTATGCTTGAAAATATGGAGAATGGTACTCAGTAATGTGTTGTATTGGATTTGCCCCAAACATAACACTTGAGTGAGTACAAAAAGTTGAATGCTTTGCCACATTTTTGTAGTATTACTTTAGTGCTTTGTTGCAAACAGGATGCATGTTTTGGCATATTTTTATTCTGTACAGGCTTCCTTCTTTTCACTCTTTCAATTAGGTTAGTATTCTGGAGTAACTACAATGTTGTTGATCCATCCTCAGTTTTCTCCTATCACAGCCATTAAACTCTGTAACTGTTTTATAGTCACCATAGTGAAATCCCTAAGCGGTTTCCTTCCTCTCCGACAACTGAGTTAGGAAGGACGCTTGTATCTTTGTAGTGACTGGGTGTATTGATACACCATCCAAAGTGTAATTCATAACTTCACCATGCTCAGGGATATTCAATGTCTGCTTTTTTATTTTTACCCATCTACCTTCTTTGCGAGGCATTGGAAAACCTACCTGGTCTTTGTGGTTGGATCTGTGTTTGAAATTCACTGCTCGACTGAGGAACCTTACAGATAATTGTATGTGTAGTCATACCTCAGAGATTAGGTAGTCATTCAAAAATCATGTTAAACACCATTATTGCACACAGTGAGTCCATGCAACTTATGTGACTTGTTAAGCACATTTTTACTCCTGAACTTATTTAGGCTTGCCATAACAAAGGGGTTGAATACATTTCATTTTTTAATGTTTAATTAATTTGTAAACATATCTAAAAACATAATTCCACTATGACATTATGGGTTATTGTCTGTAGGCCAGTGACACAAAATCTCAATCTAATCCATTTTAAATTCAGGCTGTAACACAACAAAATGTGGAAAAAGTCAAGGTGTGTGAATACTTTCTGAATGCACTGTAGGCTATGTGACGCAATTTATCTTTGGGGTCTTAAGTCAAATTTAAATGGGCAATCAGCAGTTGCTACATCCATTTTTGGACTAATAAATTAATGATATGTACCCACTGATTCCTGAAAAATCTAACTTATAAATGCCTCATGAGCTTAGTTTAAGTTAACTGTCGTACTCCATCAGAACGGAAAATATAAGCTTGTAGTACTCCAATGTAAACAAAGGAAATGTCAACAAAGACTACATAGCCTCAAAACAATGTTAAATCTATCATTTTGATATCAGTCCTTGCATCCATAGCTCTGTCTATGAATTTGAGAGTGGTTACATTTCTCCAGCCCCATCCCTCAGCTTTTTACCAAAACAGGGGCGGGGAAACGCTTTTTTATTGTTTCAACTGCTGATTGCCGCTTTAAGTAATTAGCTTTTTTTTTTACAATGCATAAAAGTACAGACTCAGAGCTTCAAATTTGTATATCATACACTGAAGTTGGAGAAAGCTATGGGAAAGCTATGCTGCTTTAAACGTTGATAATCTTGTATACCCTGTTGAGAAAAGCCATTCAAAGTTTTTCACACTCGTCAGAGAGCTATTCTTTGTTTACGCCCATTCAGCATCGCTCACAACCTCTTAAGCCTTAGCCCCACCCATCTCTTTAAGGATTCACATAGGGACATGTTTCTGTCTATAGACGGGTTGGCTGACAACGTCACAAAAATGATGTGCGCGCATCCATGGGGCCGGAAGCCATGCTTTTTTATGAATCTGAACGGTTAGATAGCTAGCAACAATCACAAGAAGCTGCCATGTGGGGAATCGTAGGCGGCTCGTTTCAGATAGTTTTATCTTGTTCTTGTTACCATGTCCTGTTTTGAGGTGTTTTTACTGATTTCATGTCAACGCTAATATGGCTCAAATTTGCTAGCTAGCTAACCAACAACTGGAACGATGTATTTGAGAGATACCAAGTCCTCATTGTGCAAATGTATTTATGTTTTCAATAAACCTTTGGAGACTAAATATTGTTGTCAACAATCTAAGCCAGCCCCGTCTGTTTGCACACGCTTCGGTTTTGTTGCTAAACAACCAACCAGTTTATGGCCTTGTGCTAAACTGAGTGAGAGGGGTGAAAGTAGTAGCCTACAACAACAAATAACTCCAGGTAAAAATGCACTTTATCTAGTCCTTGGCTTATATCCTAACCTGAATTTGATGCAGGTCATGTTGGTCTTTACATTATTGTCTCTGGTAAACACACACTATATCAAACCAAATCAAAGTAAAGTTTATTTTCACATACACAGGATACAGCAAGTGTAAACGGTACAGTGACACGCTTACTTGCAGCTTACTTGCAAGCTCTTCCTCAATAGTGCAGTATCAATATCAAAAATAGATAAACGTGTCAACGTAAACGTTTTACCGGGCATCAACCTGGACTCCAGGGTAGACGTAACATAATAAATGTAAATCCGTGACACCCCAATTAGTATGATATGTTACGAATTACAATTTGTATGATATGTTACGAATTGCAAGGCTAGGTTAAGGTTAGGAGTCAGGTTAAAGAGTTAAGGTTAGGGGAAGGATTAGCTAACATGCTAAGTAGTTGCAAAGTATCTAAAAAGTTGTAAGTAGTTGCAAAGTTGCTAATTAGCTCAAATGCTAAAGTTGTCCGTAATGAGATACGAACACGCAAGGTTGCTAGATGTTCACGTTATATGCCCACCCATCCACCCTAATTTCAAGACCGGAGCAAATCGAATCCGAGACCGAGTCAAGACCGAGACCAGGAGGGGTACAAGGGACAAGGGGTCCAAGACCGAGTTTTGAAACTGCAGTAAAAGTGCAGTAACTGCAGTCGACTGTGGTATTTTGGACGCATTATTTGCAGCATGCTACAGTTATACTGCAGTGTACTGCAGTTATACTGCACTCTGACTGCAATCTTTTTTCGTAAGGGAACAGCCTAGTGGACTTGTACACATGAAACTCAGGCAAATGTGCTCAAGTAAACATTACAGTAATGTTGAAATGAATACATAATATAAACACAATGAGCATGAGCGATATATGTAGAATAGAAAATAACCTAGCATCATAAAATGAGCAATGCTAATAAACGGTTAATCGCTAACAGTCTTGCTAAATGCTCATGCATTCCAATGCAAAATGTTAACGGTAGCGGGAGCTAGCTAACAAGCTCAACACAATAGATCACACAACTTAGCTCCACATAATAGGACACAGATCTCACATTTAGATGCACACACAATTAATCAGACAGACAGGGATTCAGTCCACGGGAGGAAAAGTTCAGCAGGGGGGAAACTGTGGTAGTGCTCATCAGGATTGGGAAAGCACTTTTCTGACCACATGGTGAGGTCATACACTAACTGAAACTCAAGTCCCGGGAATCTAGGCCGCTGATAGGCTGAACGAGATGTGGTGATAAGTAATTGGCGTGATCTTCATCAATAAGACAATAACAAAAGTCTCCTCTGAATGGGAGACTAAGCTGCCTGACTAGAACTAACCAGAAGGGATGGCTAGAATCAGCCGACTGAAGCTGTCCATTTTAACAAACACTGTCGATCTCCGGTTCTTCCCCATCACTGTCATCAGAAAACTCTGCAATGTCTCGTTCTCTGACAACATTTTGAACATTACTAAAGTCAGGAATTTCCTCGTCGTCTGATTATTTTTCAGAGTCAGAGAGTCAGCATGGCATGATGATCGTCCTCCAGAAAGTAGTCTCTCACAACTTTTTCGCACTGAGATTTATCGATAGCTCCAACTAAATTCAGGGCAGCAATGTTGTTGAGAGCTGTACCAACATTTGCGGTTGTCCATGGCTATATCTTTCAAAAATCCTGTGGTAGAAAAATGATCTACATACTGACCAAAGAAGCTCCCATTCTTGTTATATACAGAAGCCGGTGACATAGCAGACCAATCAGAACTCATCCCTCTGCATGTCCAGCCCCTCTATTATTTCAACCAATCACGGCTAGCGGGAAGGTTCCTGTCTTTTTCCGTGCCTTACCAACTAGGCTCGCAATTTACATTTTTTATTAGCATTAACTTTTCGCATACTGGTTTGTAATTGAAAGTTCACATGTTCAAGAAGGCATATCTGCCCCCCAAAAAATGCATTTTGATGCAAAAAGTTTGCATTTTTTCAAATGCTTCTCATGTAAAGTAGTAACGTTCGTAATCTGCCCCATTTGCGTGCTGCGTCACATATTCAAAGCTTGAAGGATGGCAATGATGAGTCAGAACTAGGGAAAATGGCTGACACGTTAACTGGACTTTCAGGTTTATGGCAAAGTGTAAAACCATTAAGAGGTTATATACCATTTTGTTAGGTCAGATTAGAATGACCCATGTGTATTTTTGGTCAGTTAAACTGCAGTTTATTCTATGACATCACAGCCATTGAATGAGCACTTGTTCAGTTCACAACATGTTCAGAAAGCCTTTGCTGCCAACCTGTTGTTTACTATTCAGGAGTTTAATACTTTCGCTCCATCCCCCCTGGTCTTCTACTACCAAAGAACATTGCTTAGCCTTAGAGTACAGGTTCATTAATCCGCCACTCTCCCCTCTCTCTGCCTCAAAACTCAAGCACTGACATAACAATTACCCTGACACCCCTTGCCCTGTTTGCCTATCACATCACCTCATCCTCCCATTCACCCTCCTCTACCTCCTCCCTCCCCTCTTTAGAACCGGTCTCTGTCGTGACCATCAAGTCCAACCTAAATGAAGCGTTCGAGTTCAACAGCACTGTGGTCTTGACCTGTTCGGCCAAAGGATCCTTCCTCATGTACAAGTGGCTCAACGGCACTGCCCCGCTGGTCGCCGATGGGAATCATGTGACTTTGAGTGCAAACTCCACAGTGCTGACCGTGGCTGGAGTGTTCAGGAAGGATCTGGTCGGACCCATCTACTGCACAGCCTCCAACAAACTAGAGAGCAATAGCAGTGCCCCCTTCAACCTCACTGTCAGCTGTAAGTACATATGTTCTTATAGCCTGGTCTCACATCTGATTGTGCTGTCTCGCCTACTCCTATGGTCATTGTTAGAAAGACAGCACAAACAGATCTGGGACCAGGCTAATATTTGTATCAATTGATTCCACTCACGTCTATGCAAGGCTATCTGAAAGGCTCAGGTAGAGTTCAGTTTAGAGTCTTAGGAGGCTTTGTGTGACTTGGGACACTCCCGGTAGGGGTTTCTACACCCAAACCCAACTCTCCTGTTTACACCATGCCTGTGGTCCGATGGTTATGCTGATTTACCCTTTTCAAGAGAGTGAAGAAGAAAAAAATATCTGTTTTATCAACACTTAGATATGATATTAAGCAGTAGATAAATTAGTTTGTGTGATGGCTTTAGAATAAGTCATGCCAGCCATGTTCTATATTGTAACAGTGAGAGGCTGCTGATCTAAATCAGCCATCCAGCTCAGGGTAGTACAATGCAGGCGACAGGAAAATGGTCAGATAAGATCCACATTTCGTCCTAGCCCATCTGAGTAGAGCACCTGGGAAGGGATAGAACTTGCGGCTTGTTTTTGTTAAGAATTTAATGAGCTGCTACATTGTGGTTTGCAGCCTTAGGCCTAGGCCTAAATTAAAAACAGCTGGACCTCTTTTCCAATATATTTGCAGATGGGCCAGAAAACGTCACCATGACAGTCACCCCCACCGGTGAGGTCCAAAAGAAGGGTTCCAACATTACATTGACCTGCTCAGCCCAGTCTAGCCCTGTGGCTGTGCTTCAGTGGATCCACAATGGAGTCCCGCTCAATGTGATGGGCCCCAAGCTGGTACTGGCCAACATTGCAGAGGCACAGAGTGGAAACTACTCCTGCATGGCCAGCAATGCCAAAACCTTGCGATACCTGGAATCCACCACAGCCAAGTTCACTGTAGTAGGTGAGTAGAAGAACCACAAGAGCCAATGGGAAATCAAGGTTTTATACATGAATAGGACGGGTGCTTTAGCAAATACAAAGGGTAGCCATGTACAGTATACTGGTAGAGACCTAGAGAGGCAAATCTTGCTCTAATGGAAAGCAAAGTAGTGAAACTGGTTGTTGCATTCAGTTGAGCTACAGTATTCTTCTGAGGTTCTTGTCAGTAACATGTTTTTCAGATGTTACACTCATTTGATTTTATTAGACTTATAGACTGACCTGTTCTTGTTGAACTAATTACAAGGAGGTTGTTATTAACCTTTCTCCATTTAATGGTGAATATTGCCTGGAAAAGGTTTGTTACAGCCAATTAAACACTTTTAAAACGGTTTCTGTAACTGTAAGATAAAGAATTTGCCGTTAGTCCTGCAGCCCTGTCTCAAAGAGATTGTATCATCCTTATTAAGGTGATACCATGAACAGACAGACTGAAACCTGTTTCTTGGCTTCACGCCCCAAAGGCATAACACCGAACACTGAATGGATTTCATATAATTTTTAAGCATACGGTACAAGTTTCAAACCCAGTGACCTCGTATCATGGCAACTTTGTACGTTCCCTTATAGGTTTTTAAAGCTTGTGAAATATGTGTTCCATGCCATACAGTACGAAGAGTGTATGGCCCTCGGTGTGTACTGAAACTTTTTACAATGGGAGACAGTCTACCATGTTGTGAGTGACTAAAACCTGCTTGGTTGGGGGGATGGTCTTTCAAAATGCCTGGAGTCCTTGAGTCGTGTATTGTTTTTTCAAAGGAAGAGATATTGTGGGATGTGGGGGTTCAGTTATTCTATGAATGCTCCCCTCTACTTGGTAAACAGTAGTGACTTCAAGTCCAATTATTCCGCCATGAATCATAGTGACACATTTTACTTTTAATGACTGACTAAAGCTGAGGAAATAAGACTTTGCCTCCGAAAATGTTTACCTTCAAGCCTGACACTTATTGGCCAAAGTATTGATTAGGCAGTTATGAGTCACCATTGAGGGCCATGAACTTTGTGTTTAAAACATATTATCTTGGCATTAGTTTTCCAACACTTACTAGTCTAGAAAGAAGATATCAAGATAAACAAGACAGTGGTTTCTCCTGTTCACCTGTTCAGCTGGTCCAAAACCAAAATACAAACTTGCCCTTAGTCACACTTTCAAGTGGTCTAGCATGACAGTGAGCATGTTAATTGCATTATCTATTCATGTACAGTTGAAGTCAGAAGTTTACATACACCTTAGCCAAATACATTTAAACTCAGTTTTTCACAATTCCTGACATTTAATCCTAGTAAAAATTCTCTGTCAGTTAGGATCACCACTTTATTTTAAGAATGTGAAATGTCAGAATAATAGTAGAGAGAATTCTTTATTTCAGCTTTAATTTCTTTCATCACATTCCCAGTGGGTCAGAGGTGTATATACAATCAATTAGTATTTGGTAGCATTGCCTTTAAATTGTTTAACTTGGGTCAAACCTTTCGGGTAGCCTTCCACAAGCTTTGCACAATAAAGTTGGGTGAATTTTGGCCCATTCCTCCTGACAGAGCTGGTGTAACTGAGTCAGGTTCGTAGGCCTCCTTGCTCGCACACGCTTTTTCAGTTCTGCCCACACATTTTCTATAGGATTGAGGTCAGGGCTTTGTGATGGCCACTCCAATACCTTGACTTTGTTGGCCTTAAGCCATTTTGCCACAACTTTGGAAGTATGCTTGGGGTCATTGTCCATTTGGAAGACCCATTTGCTACCAAGCTTTAACTTCCTGACTGATGTCTTGAGATGTTGCTTCAATATATCCACATAATTTTCCTTCCTCATGATGTCATCTATTTTGTGAAGTGCACCAGTTCCTCCTGCAGCAAAGCACCCCCACAGCATGATGCTGCCACCCCCGTGCTTCACGGTTGGGATGGTGTTCTTCGGCTTGCAAGCCACCCCCTTTTTCCTCCAAACATAACAATGGTCATAATGGCCAAACAGTTCTATTTTTGTTTAATCAGACCAGAGGACATTTCTCCAAAAAGTACGATCTTTGTCCCCATGTGCAGTTGCAAACCGTAGTCTGGCTTTTTTATGGCGGTTTTGAAGCAGTGGCTTCTTCCTTGCTGAGCGGCAGAGTTTTAATGACTCCAACCTAAGTGAATGTAAACTTCCGACTTCAACTGTAGGCAATTTGGTTCTGCTTGGTTGACAAGTTTTTGGTACATCAGGGCATTCAAAGACTCATTGTAAAATAACATTTGATTTGATGTCACATTTTATGGAAACGTGGCCTGGTATAAGCTGGACAGTGATATAGTAGCTACCCACTGGGCACAGATGTCAAATCAACGTCTATTCCACATTTGTTCAACGTAATTTCCTTGGAATGACTTGGAAACAACGTTGATTCAACCAGTGTGTACCCAGTGGTTAGATGTAATGTCATTAAGGTATAATGAAAGTACAATGTCTTCCAATTTAGTAGTCATCGTTAAATCCATCCAACTGAAATCTAATGAATAGTTAATCAAGCTTCATGGGGTGTTTATGTTCTAAATACTTTGTGGTTCTAGCACTCTGGTAGTTGTGAGTGAAACAAGCTGTTTCTCAGAGTGTTATCATCTGGTCTGTATAAACCCTAACTCCATTTTCCCCCTGTGTTTGTAGAGGCCATATCCGGCACTAAGATCACAGGCCCCAATGGAACGCTCGTCGCAGGTATTAGCACGGCCACCCTGAGCTGCCAGGCAAGCGCCGGCACCGCCGGCACCCGAGAGTGGCTGAAGAATGGCGTGGCACTGTCTCCTAGCAACAGGGTCGTGGTCTCGGCAGACAAGAGCTCGGTCATGATCGAGCCAGTGCAAAAGGAAGACAGTGGGGAGTACCAGTGTAAGCTGACCAATGCTGTGAACACAGACTCTGCCAGCCTCAAGATACTAGTCAACTGTGAGTATAGGCATCCTGACCATTAACACCAATAAACACCAATAAACAAAGTGTACTTTATATTCTGCTGTATATTCATAATGTTACAGTTATCCAAAAACAAAAGCTTTGTGTTTTACCCAAATCCATGATAAACTTTCTGAATGCTACAGTGTACTATTATTGAGGTCAGATGGCCAAATCCAGGTGAATTTCAGGTATAAAGCTTATGAAGGGAAAAGCTGAAATTCTCCTTTCCTGTATCTCAGTTGGTCCTGAGGCTGTGTCCGTGAAGGGGGAAATTGCCGTAGAGGTGAATGCCCCTGTCACGCTGAAGTGTACCTCAGTCTCCCTCCCTGCTGCCACCTACACCTGGAAGTTCAACGGGACGCTGACCGGCGTGATGACAGCCGAGTACATCATCGAAGCCGCTGTGTACAAGAACACTGGGATTTACACCTGTGAAGCCAGCAACGCCATCACCGGGCTGAGCACTGCCGTTGCCCACAAGCTGTCCGTCAAAGGTTTGATAGTGGAGGCTATAAGAGTATTCTACCATTTGGCACCATGGTTCTTAGAATGTCTTCTCAACTTTTGTAGGGATATTCTACTCATAAATCATGTACCACTGTACACGTTTATCTCATATGAAGCTGTTGCATTACTTTGTGATGTTCTGATGATGATGATGATGATGATGATGATAAACGATGGATTGTTCTTGTGATTCCGCAGAGGAGAGAACACTGGATGATGGTCTCACGGGTGGGCAGGTCGCTGGGATCATCATCGGCGTGCTTATCGCTCTAGTGCTCATCATCGCTGGAGTCCTCTACATGAGACGGAAAAAAAGACCGTGAGTTCTCTTGGTTTTACCTTTGATCCACTTATGCTATTCCATAAAATACAGTATGGCTTTGCAGACACAGCTGTTGTGTGTAATGATACACAATATGTCATCGTCTCTAAATGCTCTTCCTGTGAATCTCCAGTCCTCGCTTCATTCCTCTCACTCTTTGGCATCCCAGAACTTGTACATCAGGTTGTTACCAAGTATCTTCACTCTGTTCATAGCATCCAAACTCTCTGCACTTCCAAATCCCTGCTTCAGCAAACTCTTTGTAGCATTTCCTTTGCCTCAACATAGATAAAGATACTGATTTTATTGGATTTACAGCAAGGTTTCATATGGAACTCCAAAGTGTCATTTCTGATCAATCGTCTCGCCAAAGTGAAAGTGATGCAAAAAACCACATCCTCTGAGTTAACTGCCAGTGGATTCAGGAATCATTATCTTAAAGCAAAGAACAAACAGTTTAGTCAAGGCAGACACAGGGTGACACGCCTCGCACATTCCAGCATTTGGCAACAGAAATCTATGAAAACACCCCATTCTGAACAAACCAGAAAGGGAGAAATATAACACAGGTGTCCTTGCTCACGGTTTTGCATCAAAACCCATTTCTCATTGGAACTCCAGCTTGTTGTATTACATGTTCACGTTCTCATTCCTCACCCCTTCCTCGCTAATAAGAGTGTTGTCAGACAGAGCAGACAAAAAAGTCACCTGACGTGAAAGAGATCACTGGAGGTCAAGTGTACCTGCAGAGCACGGTCTACCACCACCACCACTCCAAGGTTCAGAGTTTGTCTCCCTGCTCCTCATCGTCATAATCTGACAAACTCAAAATTGATATTTGAGGCTATTGTTCCATGACGGCGTTCGCACTCCTGGAGGTCATAGACAGGAAAATGCCTGTCTCCATTGACTAAGAATGTCAGGTTTGGATCATTGGCAGGCAATTATTGTAAGGTTGTCAATGGAAAAACAGGAACTCTATAAGTGAAGTTGAACTATTTGGATTGCTCACTTAATTTTTACAATTTTACGGCCCCCTAACCAATTGTGCTATTATGTGTGTTTTTTCGCGTTATTTGTCATTTATTCTGTACATAATGTTTCTGCCACAGTCTCTTATGACCAAAAAGAGCTTCTGGATATCAGGACAGCGATTACTCACCTCGTATTGGACAAAGATTCTTCTTCAACGAGTCGACCGTGAAGGATATTCTACAGACACCCGACAAGGCCCAAATCCTCGTCATTCCCATGAGAAAGAGACAGAGATATCGTGGATGTAGGCCGGGGTGCCTTGTAAGGATCCGACGGCGAGCGAGTAATCTGCCTCTTCCATCAGTCCTATTAGCCAATGTACAATCATTGGAAAACAAAATGGACGACTTAAGATCAAGAATATCCTACCAACGGGACATTAAAAACTGTAATATCTTATGTTTCACCGAGTCGTGGCTGAACGACAACATGGATAACATACAGCTGGCGGGATATCCGCTACAGGATAGAACGGCTGACTCCGGTAAGACAAGGGGTGGTGGTCTGTGTATATTTTTGGAAACAACAGCTGGTGCATGAAATCTAATACTAAGGAAGTCTCGAAGTTTTGCTCACCTGAGGTATCTCATGATAAGCTGTAGACCACACTATTTACCAAGAGAGCTTTCTTCTATATTTTTCGTAGCTGTCTATTTACCACAAGAAACCGATACTGGCACTAAGATTGCTCTCAATGAGCTGTATAAGGTCATAAGTAAACAGGAGAACGCTCATCCAGAGGCAGCGCTCCTAGTGATCGGGGACTTTAATATAGGGAAACTTAAATCTGTTCTACCTCATTTCTACCAGCATGTTAAATGTGCAACCAGAGGGAAAAAAAACTCTAGACCACCTTTACTCCACACACAGAGACACGTACAAAGCTCTCCCTCGCCCTCCATTAGGCAAATCTGACCATAATTCTATCTTCCTGATTCCTGCTTATAAGCAAAAACTAAAGCAGGAAGCACCAGTGCCTTGGTTAATAAGGAAGTGGTCAGATGACGCAGATGCTAATCTACAGGACTGTTTTACTAGCACAGACTGGAATATGTTCCGGGATTCTTCCGATGGCATTGAGGAGTACATCACATTTTATTGATTAATTTTTTTATTTTACCTTTATTTTAAGTAGGCAAGTCAGTTAAGAACAAATTCTTATTTACAGTGACGGCCTACACCGGCCAAACCCGGACGACGCCGGGCCAATTGTGCGCCGCCCTATGGGACTCCCAATCACAGCCGGTTGTGATACAGCCTGCAATCGAACCAGGGAGTCTGTAGTGACTCCTCAAGCACTGAGATGCAGTGCCTTAGACCGCTGCGCCACTCGGGCTTCAGCAATAAGGGCATTGATGACGTCATCCCCACAGTGACCGTACGTACATACCCCAACCAGAAGCCATGGATTACAGGCAACATCCGCACTGAGCTAAAGGGTAGAGCTATCGCTTTCAAGGAGCGGGACTCTAACCCTGACACTTATAAGAAATCCCGCTATTCCCTCCGACGACCATCAAACAGGCAAAGAGTCAATACAGGACTAAGATTTTATTGTACTATACCGGCACCGATGCTAGTCGGATGTGGCAGGGCTTGCAAACTATTACAGTCTACAAAGGGAAGCACAGCCGCGAGCTGCCCAGTGACACGAGCCTACCAGACGAACTAAATCACTTCTATGCTCGCTTCGAGGCAAGCAACACTGAAGCATGCATGAGAGCATCAGCTGTTTTGGATGACTATGTGATCACGCTCCCCGTAGCCAATGTGAGTAAGACTTTTAAGCAGGTCAACATTCACAAGGCCACAGGGCCAGACGGATTACCAGGACGTGTACTCCGAGCATGCGCTGACCAACTGGCAAGTGTCTTCACTGACATTTTCAACATGTCCCTGACTGAGTCTGTAATACCAACATGTTTCAAGCAGACCACCATAGTCCCTGTGCCCAAGAACACTAAGATAACATGCCTAAATGACTACCGACCCGTAGCACTCACGTCTGTAGCCATGAAGTGCTTTGAAAGGCTGGTCATGGCTCACATCAACACCATTACCCCAGAAACCCTAGACCCACTCCAATTTGCATACCGCCCCAACAGATCCACAGATGATGCAATCTCTATTGCACTCCACACTGCCCTTTCCCACCTGGACAAGAGGAACAGCTACGTGAGAATGCTATCCATTGACTGCAGCTCAGCGTTCAACACCATAGTGCCCTCAAAGCTCATCACTAAGCTAAGGACCCTGGGACTAAACACCTCCCTCTGCAACTGGATCCTGGACTTCCTGACGGGCCGCCCCCAGGTGGTAAAGGTAGGTAACAACACATCTGCCACGCTGATCCTCAACACAGGGGCCCCTCAGGGGTGCGTGCTCAGTCCCCTCCTGTACTCCCTGTTCACCCATGACTGCATGGCCAGGTACGACTCCAACACCATCATTACGTTTGCCGACGACACAACAGTGGTAGGCCTGATCACCGACAACGATGAGACAGCCTATAGGGAGGAGGTCAGAGACCTGGCCATGTGGTGCCAGGATAACAACCTCTCCCTCAATGTGATCAAGACAAAGGAGATGATTGTGGACTACAGGAAAAAAGAAGAGGACTAAGCACGCCCCCATTCTCATCGACGGGGCTGTAGGGGAACAGGTTGAGAGCTTCAAGTTCCTTGGTGTCCACATCATCAACAAACTATCATGGTCCAAACATACCAAGACAGTCGTGAAGTGGGCACGACAAAGCCTGTTCCCCCTCAGGAGACTGAAAAGATTTGGCATGGGTCCTCAGATCCTCAAAAAGTTATACAGCTGCACCATCGAGAGCATTCTGACTGGTTGCATCACCGCCTGATATGGCAACTGCTCGGCCTCCGACCGCAAGGCACTACAGAGGGTAGTGCGTACAGCCCAGTACATCACTGGGGCCAAGCTTCCTGCCATCCAGGACCTCTATACCAGGCAGTGTCAGAAGAAGGCCCTAAAAATTGTCAAAGACTCCAGCCATCCTAGTCATAGATTGTTCTCTCTGCTACCGCACGGCAAGCGGTATCGGAGCGCCAAGTCTAGGTCCAAAATGCTTCTTTAACAGCTTCTACCCCCAAGCCATAAGACTCCTGAACAGCTAATCATGGCTACCCGGACTATTTGCATTGTCCCCCACACCCCACCCCCTCTTTTACGCTGCTGCTACTCTGTTTATTATCTATGTAAAGTCACTTTAACTCTACCCACATGTACACATTACTTCAATTACCTCGACTAACCGGTGCCACTGCACATTGACTCTGTACCGGTACCCCCTGTATATAGCCTCCCTACTGTTATTTTATTTTACTGCTGCTCTTTAATTATTTTATATTTTTTTCATAAAACTGCATTGTTGGTTAAGGGCATTTCACTGTAAGGTCTACACCTGATGTATTCGGCGGATGTGGCAAATCAAATTTGATTTGATTTGATTTCAAACAAGGAAAGGGAAATATAGCTACAGGGATTACTGATGCAAAGACCAACCGCCTTTATCCAGACAGGAAGATGAGCCTCCAGATAACCAACCAGCATAACATGCATTTCACAAAAATTGCAGACTTCCTGCTGGATAACTAACAAGCTGACAAAAAGATAAAAAACACAAAAGATACAACATTTTACTTGAGTTCACTTCATTGTCATGTTTACAGCCAGTGAACAAGGGGAATGCAGTGTGGTGTTAAAAGCAGACCTGATTGGTTAGGTTTAGACCACCCTGTGTGCACAACTGGGTTCACACAGATGCACACCTGTTTATATGAGAGAGGGACTTGCAGGTTCAAAGCCCCAAACACGATCCTGTTCCTGATTAGTGTGATAGGTGACTGGTAAATTAGTTCACAGCAGGCCAGGCCCCTATGTAAAATGGGGGGGATTAGAGATGACAGGTGCCGATAGTGTAGGTTTCTGGTCAAGGTCACTGTC